CTCTATTCTATACTTTTCCTGCCATCTTCCCCACCTTATCTAAAACAGTGTATCTCATTTCTATCCTCTTCTTTACAGCTCTCGCTGAGATCCTCTTCTAACCTACTTCTTGAGAACCCTGTCACTCCTCTGACTTCTATTCTTACTCCTTTTCTGTGCACGCTGCTCGACTTTGGAATTCACTTCCTGAGGGTATCAGAAAGGCTCGTTCGCTTAATTCCTTTAGCGATCAAGTAAAAAGCTATTTCCTTTCTTTATCTTAAATTCATTTAATATCCTATTTCTTTGTTTCTTTTATATTTATGTAAGTATAGCTCCTGTATTTTCTTTTGCACCCTTCTATATTTCTCTATTATTATTCCTTTTCTACAATAGGTTGCCTGGAAGAGATTGCTGTTTAGCAGTAAGGCCGCCTATTGTACTCTTTCTTCTGTTTTATTTGTTTTTGTCTTGTGTCCTTTGTTGTGTGCAATAAAGAATATTTATTATTATTATTATTACTTTCACGTACTCAAAAGAACTTTTGAGCAAAAAATTATAATAATAAGTTGTAGAATCGGAATGCGACGCGCATTAAAATCGTTACTCAATAAGCTGTTAGAAAGTGGATTTCAGACACGGAGCATCGGTGTAGCATTTCAAGCACTTGATGCCGGCACTTCACTAGGCTATTCGCGTTTGCTATTTGTAAACTTGACATTTTCATTCCTGTAAAGCAAGATAAAGACAGACTGTTTTTAAGTTTACAAATATCAAATACGAATAGACAAGTGAAGTGTCGGTATGATGACATATAGCGAACCTCGACAATATTGATGTAATCCTTTGAGAGCAACGCTCGGACGGTAATTAAAACACCGAATCACTTGAACACAAAGCAATACGTAATGAAAAAGTAATGTGCAGAAACGACACCGCGAATTCGGTCATAAATAATGGCACTGTGGGTGTGGGTAGACTCTCACCTTCCACCAGCCCACGTATTCCGCGAAATAAACGGGATTTTGAACACTTGTAAAACCGGAATAAAAGTGAACCTGTCAGGTTTTTAATAGCATAAATACTTTTTGTTTATGCTAATGATAAATCTACCTAAAATACTGTGGACAGTTATGAAATTCATTATGATCCGCTTAATATGTTTATTTTATTCGCAGTCATACTAAGCATTCGTATCTTATTCATTGATCAAATCAAATAACGTTTTCGTATGAAGTTCTTAATTTAATGTTACATTACAACAGACTATATCGCTGATGTAGATGACTTTCGAATGACAATCGTAATTCGCAATTTAAACTCGTGCTTGCTGTTTTACTTACTACCACGCTTGACGGTATTTTATCTGACTAAAACATACATAATAATAAACCTTCTATCTATAGCTGAAGGCTACATTTAAATCCGCTACGCGTTTAAAAAGATGTAAGCGTATAGACATCGGGAGCAGCTTTGTATGTAAAGAATCAGTAAGAGTGAAGTCAGGGCGACTCTGTTTTATACTAGTGGTAGTGCTGCAAGTTGCCATGGGCGGCATTTACCATCCGGTGAACTGCCACTCCATCTGCCTGCATAAACATGAGAAAATACTATTTAAAGATATCATTAAGACCAACGAATTAGAAATTATATTGAAGCATATCTCTCTACCAAAGGGCGCTAAAACATGGTTCCAAACTCATTCAACTCAAACGCGTGACGCAAACACGCACGCAAATCAAATATCTGCAAATTAATTAGGCCAGCTATACTCTAAGTGTGTTCCGCGGAACCCTAGGGTTCCGTGATACCTCTGTCGGGGTTCCGCAAGAATTTAGAAATAAAAAAATCAAAACACCTCTCTCTGGTCGCTTCGCGGCTGTGCGGACTCCGCGGCCGCGCGGAGACAAAACGCTATGAATGTTATTTATTTATTTATTTGTATTTGTATAAGCTTGTGTTACATTAGCTGGTACAATATCTCATAAGTTTGGTCTCAACAATTTTATACTTGTACAACGCGTTCGCTCTAAGTTTGCCGGTCTGTGGAATGCGCGTACCCTCCCCCACGTGACAACAAAACTTATAATGTGTCATAGTTTTACCCAAATATCTAACGTACACAATTTTTATTGTTACAATTAAATAAAAAATTTCGAACGTCATACACTCATACCTATCGCCAGCGGCAAACTTAAAACGAGCGGGTAGGTATACTTGTAAGCGCTCAGTCTCTTTGATAAAAGCCGCCTCTGAATTAGACGCTATAGTTGTCAACTAGCGACTTTCGTCTCTAACTTCAAAGGATAAAGTCGATATTGTTTACAACGCTATTTTTAAATTTCTGTTTTTATTTTTGCTTTTTGTTTATCAAAGGTGCCGACTCGAGTATTTTCGAGAATATTTGAGATCGAGTCTAGGACTAAGTATAAAAGCGGCGATCGCGCGTTGGCGTCGTCAGTTGATGATTAGCGTTCGGAGCGATAAGTTACTACCTACTTACAAGCTCGCTAGCGAGAAACTGGTGTTCATTGTTTTACTGCCTGCTGTATTCTGTTGTCTCAGTTTTATACATTTCTTCCCTGTAGGTTCTAAATTTAGTCTCTTATACGCAGTAACGATTGTGCATTATTTAAACCCCACTATCCTGACTTGTAACATTATAAATAAAGAAGAATGGAACGTTGGCTTAAAGGTGTTAAACGTGTTCCAACAACATCTTCTAATGACGCTGAATGTTCAAAAGCAATGCGCGCGGAGAATTTAGCAATCACCGATCCAGAAGATGATGCCACGAGTGCCACGACGTCAAGCTCGACGGTTTCAAAGACGAAAAAAAGGAAGTATGATGAATCTTATATCAGTTTCGGATTTGTTGATTCCAACGGCTCACCTCTCTGCATGCTCTGTAGTAAACTGCTTCCTAATAGTTCCATGGCACCTGCCAAATTGCGTCGACATTTAGAAACCGTACACCCCGAGACTAAAGACAAGAATAAAGAATTTTTTGTTCGCAAAAAAGATCAGTTATTAGAAAGTCAAAAAAATATGATGCATGTAACACAAACTACCAACGAAAAGGCCACGGAGGCATCATACTTAGTTAGCTATCGCATTGCACAAGCAGGTGAAGCGCACACTATCGCTGAGAAATTAATAAAACCATGTGTATTAGACATAACAAAATGTATGCTTGATGAAAAATCTGCAAAGCATCTTTCTACTGTTCCGCTATCAAACGATACTGTTTCACGACGAATCCATGATCTGGCAAGCTACGTCAAACAAGAACTAGTTACACGTCTACAAAATACACGATTCGCTTTGCAAATGGACGAGTCGACTGATGTCGCTGGTTTGGCTATCCTGCTGGTTATTGTGAGATATCCATATAAAAGTTCTTTTGAAGAAGACATGCTTATGTGTTCATCGCTGCTTACAAACACTACCGGGGAAGAAATTTTTAATAAAATAAATATATTTTTTGAAGAACATAATCTCAGTTGGAACAATTGCATTGACATTTGTACAGATGGGGCCAAGGCGATGACAGGTAAAACAGCAGGAGCAGTGTCACGAATGAAAAATAAAGCGCCTAATTGTAGTTCCAGTCATTGTATTCTGCATAGACAAGCACTTGCGATGAAGCAAATGCCGTCTAATCTAAAATTAGTTATGGATGAAGCGGTAAAAATAATTAATTTTATCAAATCACGACCACTACAATCCCGATTGTTCTCATTATTGTGTGAAGATTATGGCAGCAAACATAAAACACTGCTGCTCCATACAGAAGTGCGATGGCTGTCTCGGGGAAAAACTTTAACAAGGCTATTTGAACTTAGAGCCGAGTTACAAATGTTTCTTTCAGCAGATACTTCTTTTAATTTGAAGGACCGTTTGTATGATAAAACTTGGTTGTTCCGATTGTCTTTTATGGCGGATATCTTTCAAAAACTTAACGAATTAAATTTATCATTGCAAGGTAAACAGACAACAGTGTTTCAGGCCTATAATAAAATAACTACTTTTAAAAGAAAATTAGATTTTTGGATCATTTGCATTGGTAAGAAAGAAATAGAAAGTTTTACGTTACTCACTGAGTTTGTTAGCGAAAACGACTCAGAAATGTTTGAAGATAATGTGTTTGAAGAATTGGTCCAATATCTCAGTTCGATGCGCGCATCTTTTGAAAAGTATTTTCCCGAAGAACACAATACAAAAATTAAAGTGAACTCCTGGATTCATAATCCTTTTTTACCCAACTTGGAAAAGCCTGAAAACATGTCAAATGAGATATATGAATCTCTTTTAGAAATGTCATCAGACACAAGTATGGAGTCATTGTTCAAAACGACGCCTCTTAATGATTTTTGGTGCAGAATCCAAGATGAATATGCAATGCTTGGCCAAATGGCTCTGGATATTCTTCTCCCGTTCCCAACTACATATTTGTGCGAAACAGGATTCTCTACCTACGCAGCCACGAAAACAAAATATCGCAATAGACTGGACGCCGAAGCTGATATGAGACTCCAACTTTCTTCCATCAAACCTGATATCAAGCAATTGATGAAAAATAAAAAACAGTTTCATACCTCCCACTAGTTAGATTTTTTCTTTTTTAATGTTTTCTATTATTGTCCTTACCAAGTGGTGAAGTAAATAATAATTAGTAACGGATACATTGTACTTTTATTATGCTGATTAATATAGAATACACTTATAAAAATAATTGTTTTATTGTAGGGTTCCATCAAGTATTTTGCTTCCCAAAAGGGTTCCGTCATTTAAAAAGTTTGAGAACCACTGAATTAGGCTATCCATTCATTGGGTAAGATAATGTGGTAAGTAAACGGAAATCTCAACCAATCTCATGATCGGTGTTTTGACCGCAGTTTTTCGCTCCGCCCACTTGATCGTATTTTGCGTGGAACCAGTTTTTAGTGTAGTTCTTATTCCATATTATTTGTAATTTGTTGATTAAGACAGTACAATTAATGAGCTGTGGTCGTTTCCAGGGTTCGTTCGAATGCGTCAGGAGTGGCGGCGCGCGGCGGCTGGAGTCGTGCGGGCCGCTGCCGCGAAGGATGCGCGTGCACGCGAACGACGACTCGTACGAGGCGACCAAGGACCGTATGGCGAGGACTGTTGCGGCGGAGCAGAGTAAATGGTTGGTGTACTTTGTTTAACCCAGAGAAATTCAGGATACGTACTCCGCCGCTAGGTAAGGCGACGGGAGTTACTTGCATGCGAACGCTGACTCTCGCGTAAAAGGCGACCAAGCACCGTATGGCGTGGACTGTTGCGGCGAAGCAGAGTAAATGGTTAGTATACTTAGTGTTAGCCTAGAGCTATTCATTAGCCCGCCTTTGGGTATTGCCAAGTGGTTCCGCGAGCACTTTTCCAGTCTTGACCAGAATAGACTCTTGCGGGCCCACTCATTGAAATTCTGGGACATGTACACCTTGCCAGCAGTATGAATCAAATACGTGCCATTTTTATTTCTTCTAATCCTATTAACTTGTTTTAAATCCTTTAATTCGCCTACCCAGTTTCCAATTTGGGATCGGTAAAATATGTTTTCCCCTTTCATACTTCGTGATCAATCGTAATCTATATATATACTTATTCAATTCTTTCTTTGTTCTGTCGTCATTCATAGTCTACCAATTGGTTCTTCTCCTTCTACATGCCCATATACCTACATCGTTACAGTAAGACTGTATCACATGGTAAGCTGCTTAATGTCGATTTTAATTAGTTTCTGTTTTCTTCCAGCACCCGCGTGATAAAGCCCAACCTAACGGACATTGGGCGCGTGAAGGTGCGTCCCGCGCACCAGAACCTATACTCATCCACGGCGGCGCGCCTCGTTGCGGAGCGGGAACGCGAGCGCGAGCGCGAACGTGAACGCGAGCGCGAGAGAGAAAGAGAGAGGGAGAGAGAACGCGAGCGCGAGAGGGAGCGAGAGAGGGAGAGGGAGCGGGCGGAACGTGCCGCCCCGCCCGCGCCGCGCCCTCAGCCCGCGCCGCACCCCCCCGCGCACCCCCCGCAGCCACAGAGGCCGCCACCCAACCCGGATCTCACTAGGCGGTCTATAAAGTGAGTACTCTTCTAACTTGACACTATGACTAAGGTAGCGGGTAAAAAAATTTATTTCCCATGAAAAATCCTCTTTTCATGGGAAATCCATTTACCATCAGGACCGGGGCCTGATGGTAAATGGCCACCACATCCTATAGACGCTTGCGATAGCAAAAAAATGGTTTACGGACGATAATTTGACGTGATAACTTGTCGTTCGCTGTTTTCCTCAAAAATATAGTTTCCCATAGAAACTTACTACTTTCTACCCTGTAAAAGATGATTTCTGCGATATTAAACTATCTTTATATCAATTCATCTAAATCAGTTCAGCGGTTCGAGCTTGAAGAGGTAATTGTTTGCCATTATTAAAATAAATACCTTGAATATAGAATGGATATGTAGAATGTTATCTATTATCGAGCTTCTGCGTTAGTTAAGCCGTTGTTGATCCCGTGCTGCATCTACTGTCTTTAGCACCCACCAAGCAGTACAGTCCCCACTGTTGGGGCACAGTATTTCATCCATAGGAGAAGACCTGTGCCCCAACAGTGGGGACATTAATAAAATGATTTTTAGTACCTTGAATAATGTAGGCAGACTTGACGATTATATACATGCAAGCATACTTATACTTTGATACTTTCTCAAGCGAGCGTTATCAACTACTATATTGTGTCTCTTTTCCCAAAAATCATTCTATGAGAGTATAATAACTAGTGAAATAACATAACCGATAACAAAATATACCTACAATATTGTCGAAAAATGTTTCAAATCTTGTGTTGCAGAAAGCTTTTGTAAAACACAATAAATATAATTGAGGATGTTAATAATTTTCTAACCACATAATTGCTTTACTTTGAGTCGCCTATATTTAATTTATGACATATAGATCTTGGCCACGCAAAACTTCAAAACAACTTTGTCTTAATAAACTGAATATTGGCTAATCCCCCGCGGTTGCGGTCTTTATTAAATATTTAGTTTAAAGGGACCGTCCTAATAACTTCGGTAACTGTCTTATCACTATGCAATTTAAGCTCAAATAAAATAGTCCGATGTTAATAACAACCGAAAACATTGTTTTTAATTTTTAAATGTACCTACATCATAACTCTTTATCAATAATTTACACAATAATAAGATATGATAATACATTGTGGCAGCAATTAGGATGTGTGGTTTCAACTTTCGCACGAGTTATATTTAAAATATGTAGGGTATAAAATATATTCAAACTGTAGTAGTGAACGCTGAAAATGTATCAAAAATACTTATTTATAAATATTGTTTTATTTTTCTTATTATATTTTATCTCTAAAATTTCGTGTAATTGAAACTGAATTGTTGTGCAACAGTATGGATATTGGATGCCGGCAAGCAAGAAATTTGATTCTCTCGTATTCAGCAAATTGCAGTTTTAAAATCTATAACTAAAATCAAAAGTGCCACGATGACACTCAATCTTGCGGAACAAAACATAGCATTTACTGAATTCATAAATATTTGCATACTTTGTAGTATACATACAAAATTTACATTAATTAGTAATAATATAATGTAATAAAATATAATGTTAGAAATAGATAAACTTACATCGTAAAAAGTAAATGATTGCGTCTTTTTTTAGCTGCGAGTATATAATATATGTACTTTCCAGAATGTTCAATAATGTCAACTAAATGTGATAATGAGATGATGACTGACTTTTTTTTCTTTGTCTATCAGGTAGATTATTATCAAAAGGTATTGGACACGTATTTTTTCTTTATTCACACAACGAAATCATTACCAGAGATATATTGATTTGAAATGTCGCATGACGTCACGTCTTGGTATATTTTTTACTTAGAAGTGACGTCAGGAGCCCCCACCTCTAAACTTTGACGCCCTTTATCTTTGTAATTTTTTGGTTGATGGATAAAAGAAAAAATAAGTGTTCCTTATTTTTTGATAATCTAACTAGCGGGCTAAATAGAATTTCGTTTACTTTACCCCATCATCATCCCATTTTAACATAGAACCGCTCGCCGGTATATTTTTTTTAATTCCTTTAATGTATAGTTGGTTGTCGAGCATGGTCTGTCTACGATGTAATGATTTTTACTTTAAATCCTCCCATAGCATAACAGGATAAAAATTTGCTAGGTGAACCAAGGTGATAGTGGTTAACTATCTACGGGAAACCAAAAAAACTAAATTCAGTTTCCATTCTAGAGAAACACACCCGAAGCAGGCCCAATATGGTAGCTACTATTAAACATGCGTTCGCAAAAGATTGTTCACGCATCAGTGTTTATCATTAATCAAGTTGCGCATATATGTCTTGTATAGTCGCCTAAATTAAACAAGTTATACAATCAATAGGTCGTGACAATACAAGTGAAGTAATATTCATACATAATATGACGATGACAATAATTGACGCTGAAAAAGAAACTTTTCCTCTTCCTCAAACTAATTTCTTTCCAAGAAAACGCGATCGTGACCTTCAAATCTCTGACTTCATATGAATAACCTGTTGTTTTTCCATGAAAATAACATCGACAAACTTGACGCGTACACTACCAATGGTTTTATTGTTCTTCGGAGTGGCAGAATTAAAAGTGGCGTTTCACTTCGGTTGTTTTTGTTAGAATTGACAAAGACTTATTTTTCCGTAGATGTAATGCCTGTCCATCATTACACTACTTTAGAATGTTTTGATTGTTATTAATCTATGTCTTAAGCTACTTTTATATCATTTGCGGCAGAAGAACTCTTTCCATATTTATCTTTGATGATTTATTAATAGATAGGATAATCTGAAAACTACAAACTAATAACTATATTATTGATTAACATAATTATAATGTTCTTATTATTAGTCATTAGACGCTCATTGTTGCTGAGCTTATCTTCTACACCATGTTCTCGAACAGCTATCTTTCTTCATTGATTTTATTGGTATCGTTGCTTATTCTTACCCTCCTTGTTACAACAACCCTTAGCACGAACTAATATCGAATTCGTATTGTTTGCGAGTAAGAAACGTCATTGTCAAATGTGTACTGATTGTTAGTTCTCTGTACGTACGATATAGCGCTAACTTCCAAGTTTTCATACAAAATTTGACAATGACATTTCGAACTCGCAAACTATTCGAATACGATAATGGTTCGTGCTAGGGGTACTGCATAGATTTTCATTCATACACTATCTCCACCTGTTAGAAGTCTATAAGTTCCTAACGTAAGTAATTTTTAATACAGAAATTCTATTTAAAAACCAATGCTAATAAAATAAAAATTAGCGCATTTGGTTTTTTTTTTTGAATACAATTATTCCATAGGCGTATGCCCATGCCATTATTTAGTTTGACTTTTTTTTTTAAGTTTTGTTATATACATTTGTTTGTGCACTCAGTGCGGCCTTTTATATTTAATCATGCAAACATGCGGCATGCTCACTTATGTCTACTTAACTAATATAAATTTGGACATATTGTCCATCCCCTTTTTAATGAATATTCTATTATATGTATACGCTTTTCTTTCTTTTTTCCTTATTTTTTTTTTCACCTATTATCTATTGTACATGCTTTGTGGAACAAAAGGATTTTCAGTTTATTCTATTTGTGTACCTTGTGTTATGTTTTTGCGATAGCGCACTTGGGTTAAAGGCACGAGGTAATTACTGCATTTGATTTTCCATTCACAATAAATACAGTTGATTCTGTCAACAAGCCATCATGAATAGCCGTAAGTAAGACATCGCATAAATACACTATATTTTTTTTACAAATGACCAGCCTTCCAGCCGCAATATATGAAAACTTGATACTGGCTAGAAACCGTGCGAAAGTTTACTAGGCACCTGAGATGCAATAACATCTAGAAAAATAGATCGTCATACACCCCAACACGGTCCAAACACAGATATCGAGGTTGATCAAATTATACACTGATTATACCAATGTCATACATTCACATTCGAATTTCTTGGTCGTCACATCAAGTCTTGGCAAACCCCAAAGATAGGCTAATATAGGGTATAATAGAAATAATAATCGCTTAATTTGCGAATATCAATAACTTTTATCATTACTTAGGCCGCATTGTTTCATCCATATTTAAATTTGCCTATAGTTAATTTCACGTTAAATTTATAGTAAATGTGTAAAATTTTGACAAATGGTTATATTAGTATTTTAACTATAGATGAAACAACGCGACCTTAGGAACATTTTTACCTTGGACCGACTGACTTGCTCTGTATCTGTAAAACTTAGTTTGAACCTGACTAACTATGAAATTTCTTTATTACAGGGAAAGACTTATACAGTTATTAGCGTTGAAACCTTTCAAGAAACCCGAACTATACGCGAGACTCAATAGTGGTAAGTAAAAGTGACAATACTCAAAGGTCATCTAATTACAAAACACAACTTGACTAACGGTCGCACTAACGTTACAGAGGGTATCAAGGAAAAGGAACGCGGTCTGGTGAACAAGATACTGCCTCAAATAGGCTCGCTCAAGGACAACTCTTACCATTTACGTAGGCACATATGGAACGACGTCAACGAAGATTGGCCGTTCTATTCAGAGGAGGAAAAACATATGCTCAAGAGGTGTGTAGGCTCAGTTGTATGCGCATGCTCAATATATAGCAATTAATAGATGTATTGTATCCACATTTGCTTTTGAAAGAGCAAACTGGTCTGCTTCTATTTGTATAATCAACTTTGCTATTTATGAAAGTGCTACTCACTTGGAAAAGTAATGACTATTTACAGTTTTGTCAAGCTGACAGTTGCAGAGCACACACAATAAAAATTGCAGTACATACAAGTTTACAAGCACTTGCGAATGATATTATGATGAGCATAGGAACAAAGATTTCTGTATTACATTTTGTTCAGCACTAAATTGTAATGTATTGATTCTCAAAATATCTAGTTTAATCATGAAATTCACTATATACCTAATTCTAGCTGATTTTCGAAACCTTAAACTCAATTTGACTACTACCAATATCCAGTAATCTAAAGAGCGATAAAAAGGGAAGACTGTTGTCAGTTTTCTTTCAAAGTTTTTAACTCAGATCTTTTTCCATTATGAGACGAAGATAGTTGCTTCAGCGTGTGAGCATTTTAAGCTTTGACACGTCTCACATATTTTCTACTGGGTCATGAACCACATCCACTGCAGTTGAGCACAAAAGAGTAATATGTATAAACAATGATTTTTTTGATGTTAATTTTTTATACAAATCCAGTCTCTTTTCTGCTTTAATCTTATTAGTTATTAGTGGAACTTTAATCTTATAAATAAGAGTGGGCCGTAAGCAAATTGCTACAGTAACTCAACGAATTAGAAATGATATGGAATGCGAACTGAGCTAAAAAGAGGAACCACGCAAACTGCGATAAAGTGGGCGGGGCTAAAAATTAGCGATCGACATACCGATCATGTGATTGGTTGGAATTTCCTTTGAACATTATCTTACCCAATGAATGGATTGCCGAATTCATTTGCAGATATTTGATTTGTCCGATTATTTTGTAGCGTGTCGCGTTAGTATTGAAGTTGAATTGTTTGGAACCATGTTTAAGCGGCCTTTGTGACAAAGTAATGTTTCCATATCATTTTCGTTGCAATAACTGTTTCATACGTATGATACAGGCGGAAACCTCAAAACTTAACGCCGCCGCTGAGTAGCGACTCGGCGCACTCACTATCGCCTAGAGCGTCGCCCAGCGCCACCAAGAGGCCGAGCACTAACGCCGAAGAGATGCCGTCCAAGAAGCAACGCATCTCTCACTATAGGTTAGTTTGTTTATTTAATTTTAGTAACAAACAATATTAAAAAAAGGTTGGTGTGAGTTTAAGAAATATTTATTTATAGTCAATGTCATACGGGTATTGCTCAATCAGTCGTGGGATATGGAGGATGTTTTCCCGTGCCCGCTTATGCCATCATCACTGTAGTTACATAACACCCACTACTGAACAATAACATAGGCCAAAAAACTTTGCACTGTTCGGTTCCCGGGACTCATTAGATCACGCTAGTCTACATCATGGAATGTAATGTCTATCATCATTATTATCTATTAATCTACCCACTGCAGGGGCACAGGCCTTCCCTAAGGATTGAATAGGGAGACTAGGCAGTAACCCACCACGCGGGCCCAGTGCGGATTGGTGGGTGCCAACGACTGCAGATGCAGCCGGGCCTAGCGGCTTAATCTGCCTTCTCGGTCGAGATAGTACAAAAATGTACTGCGAAAGTTGCTGAACTCCAACGATCGCAGCCGAACGTGCTAATCACTTGCGCCATCGAGCTCCTCTACCTAATGTCTTTAGTCTAACTATATTATCGTTTGTTCACAGTGTTGTGTTAGTGTTTTTTCATTTGTTTTGGAGGTTCCAGTCTGTAGTCTGTCCTCCCGCAGATTATTCATTTTTTTTGTACTTTTCTGTAAGGCTAAGATAGTAAAATCATTCAGCCTATGTTATTATTATTATTTTTTGATGTGTATTAATCGGTATGGTTGTTTCTTTTAGAGTTTTTATTACTATTATTAAAAAAAGTCATCAACCTCAGGCCCTGCCAGAATCATCAGCGCTGCTGCAGCCCTGGTGTTGTTATAGTATTAAGCTGAGACAGGGACCTAGTTGGCTTATTTGGACTGTTTTTATTTATGTTAATATGACTATGTTTATGGTTAATAAGATTTATTTCTTTCTTTCTAGACGCGCATCACCCCCGTCCTCCGGGTACGCGACCACGTCGTCGGGCGAGCGGCACGCGTCCGACAACGAGGACGAGCGGGGCGCGCCGCCCGCCGCCGCCGTACCACCCGCGTATACGGACGACGCGACCAAACCGCGCGTCACCAGCGCGGCTCCCATCAGCGCGGCCGTTAATGTTGTCACTGCGCCCATGTTAGCTGTTAACAGTGTGCACCATCACCGCCGCGCGTCGCCGCATGCGCCCGCGCCTGTGCACCACGAAGACGATGACGACAAGACCACAAGTGAGTGTACTCATAGAACTTCTACCCACCAATTATAGCTACGCTATCTAACAGTGCAGTATAAGCCGTGCGACTATAATATCAACGATACCACGCACGCGGCGCCCGCGCATTATGATGACGACAGCAAGACCACAAGTAAGTTACATACATACTACACTACCAAACATACATACACTATTTAATATAACACGTATCAGCCGCACGATAACACTTCATTAGAATCGAGAGACACATATACTCTACTGACTCTACAACGAGGACGAGCGGGGCGCGCCGCCCGCCGCCGCCGTACCGCCCGCGTATACGGACGACGCGACCAAACCGCGCGTCACCAGCGCGGTTCCCATCAGAGCGGCCGTTAATGTTGTCACTGCGCGCACATTAGCTGTCAACTGTGTGCACCATCACCGCCGCGCGTCGCCGCATGCGCCCGCGCCTGTGCACCACGAAGACGATGACGACAAGACCATAAGTGAGTGCACTCATAGACCTTCTACCCACCAATTATAGCTACGCTATGTAACAGTGAAGTATAAGTCGTGCGACTATAATATCACCGACGCAACGCACGCGTCTGCGCCCGCGCATTATGGTGACGATAACAAGACCACAAGTTACATACATACTACACTATCAAACGTACATGCACTATTTAATATTACACGTATCAGCGCACGATAACACTACATTAGAGTCGAGAGACACACATACTCTACAAAAAGACGACGCGAGCAAACCGCTCGTCACCAACGCTACTATCAGCGCGGCCGTTAATGTTGTCACTGCGCTTACGTTTGCAGTCGCCGCGCATCATTACCGCCGCGCCTCACCGCATGCGCCCGCGCCTGTGCACCACGAAGAGGATGATGACAAAACCAACAGTAAGTCTTTAAATACACATATTATCTAATCCACCACTATCGAGTCACGCCGCACGCGCCCTAGACAGAAGTAGGTAAGTCTTTACTCATACATACTACACACTATCAAACACACACACACTATTGGATGTATCAGCCACACGAGAAGACTGAAAATGAGTCTAAAGACACATACTCGTCGCCGTACCGCCCGCGTATACGGACGACGCGACCAAACCGCGCGTGACCAACATGCCATGTCACTCATGCTCTTACTCACCGACAGAAACACAACACCACCAAAAGTAAAGGTTCTAAGGCACTACGGGGATTGTGTCAGGATAGGCAACAGCGCGAGTGATATTTTTTGTATAGCAAACTTTTAGAGGCTTTGGCGGCTGCATACCATCAGGCAGGCCATAAGCTTGTTTGCCACCCTTTTAACATAAAAACCACACGAATACCGGCATTTCCATGGGTATCCGTGTTTACTATTTGTAATATTGACAGCAAGAATCGTTTTCATACTCTATAGGGAGTGAAAGGGAGATTCGGCATATTTACAAATAGCAAATGCGAATAACTATGTTAAGTAGAAAAAATTCCACGCGGACCAGGCAGCAGACGGGACTCGAACCCTTTTTTTCCCCCTTTTTTCTAGTTATATTTTCTTTAGATTTAAACATCAAGCAGTTACATGCTTTAAAAATAATAAAAATTATAACTATGTTAAGTGCCGCAATACAAGGTGTAATCATCTAAATAGACAAGTTGCAGCAAAAAACCACTGTACAGTTACATGCCTATGCACAACGACGACAATACGGCAAGTGAAATATGCTGCAAAAGTAATGTAAAAGGATTAACGGATAATACTTGAGGACGCACGAGAATATGTTTATCACCTTAATGGTTCAACTTAGCAAATTGAGAGTTCAGAAAATTATTATTTCACAACACAATTAGGAAGCTTAACTAATGCAATTACTAAATAAACTCTTACCAATTGACTGTAGGGTATCCACAAAATTAACTAAAGGCTAAGCGAACTACACTCCATTATATACCGTGCCGACCTCATTAAAATCACATTATTAAAATGGACAATGAGCTTAGCGGATTGTTATGAAACTTTAGTATATCAATTAACATTGGAACCCTTATTTGTTTGCAGTTAAAAAGGAGAACGGCTACTCCCTCAACTACACCACTGATAAGGATCTCTGCCCCAGTCCTGTCAAAACGAACGGTTTTAGAATTAGTCCTAAAGTAGAGCAAACTAGTATCACAGGTGAGTACTTTCTTCATTATTGCGCAAAATAATGATAACATATCTTAAAAAAATATAACTAGAAAAAAAATGATTACATAATTATTTTGTTTATGGACACAATTTATCAAATTTCTGAACATACTGTTAACTGACTGTATTATGTAGTTGTTATAATGATTTTTTTCTCTTTTATTTTTTTACAAATTTAATATTGTAGGTTTTCTAATGAGATGAGCACCTAACTACTTGACTGCTTTTTGTTAATTGATTTTTCAACCTTAAACATATTGCCTACTGTGGTTGACTAAATTCCATGTTGTGTTTATTGGCTACAAACCCTGGAGGTTGTGGTACTGTTAATCTTATTTATTTCTATATCACAAGATCTTGGATTAACTATGCTTATTTGACAGTACGAAAAACTTAAAAATCACAGATTTCTTTAATTAATTAATTTTCTTTTAAATTATAACTATTTAATGGTACAAAAACAAAAGAAGAAAAGTAAGACAAAGTACTCAAAGAAATGCCAATCGCATTTCTTTGTATAGTTAATGACTTTGGAGGAATGTGAAAACTCTTCAAGTAATAAATCTTATCAGTAAACTTGTTATAAAAGAAACAGCTGTAAAAACCATATCTTTCATGATGATAAAATAATATAAACAAACTAGACTTCCTATGGTTTCTGTTGAATAATAAAATAAACAGTTGTATGTGTAGGTATATTTCGTTAAATAACAATATTTTTCCTCTTATTGCAGTAAAAGACATCACAAATACGGAACCTTTAGAAAATACGGAATTATCGTCTGTCACTGACGAGAAAATGACTGATACGGAAGACATTGAAAGGTAAGTTCGCTCACAATAGGAGCTGAGATTATCTTAATTATTCATTGATTCTTTACAGCTCTGTTTTTAACGCAATACTCGTTAATAACAATTTTGTATGCTTCATTAGCATAATGAGATGTTTTTTAAAGATTGTTTTTATTTCGTAATACTATTACAAAATAGTTCTTTGAACTAGGCAACTGTTGGTTTGTTCCTATCTTCGCTCACTAAGTCAGTTTGATCACATTTTATATGATTATATATTATGAGACGGCAAGGTACCAGTGATATAATTATACAGTGTAATATCCTTTGTGATGACACATAAAACAGATTTATATCCTTTAAAAAAATAGCGAAAGAATAACTTGACGCTATGTTATTTTATCATTACTTCAGCCAATAACAATCATGTTTATCTAAGATTCCATCTTTTATATATTTATGTGTACACATTGTGGTTGCAATAAATTCTTTTTTTTTTATTAGACGCCAGAATTTTTTGTAATATCTTGTAAATATTTCTTTTCTAGTAAAAGGTTATAATAATTGTTATTTTAAACATTAATCAGCTAGATTTATAAATCTAAGGAAGATTTCACTAGAAAAACTTCCGCTCGCTCTTGTCTCATACCTAGTAAACTAGAAATATACCCAGTCGGTATTTTTGTTGTTTTTTCTTTAGAGTAAAAGAGAGTGAATAATAATAGTCTATCAGTGATTGATAAAACAACTACATTTTATCTCTCAAACAGGCAATACCCGCCAATAACGAGTTCGAGCACGCGGCGCGCGTACAAAAATGAGTTCGCGGAATTGTACAAGGAATATCGCGCCCTCTATGAACGCGTGGCCGAAGTGGCCGCCCTGTTTACTCGCCTCGAGCACCAATTACAACGTGCCCAACCACACTCGCCCGATCATCAGGTAATATATACGATAGTTTTACTAAAATATGTTTATAATTGCGTATATAAATGTCAGGGCCTAAGGTATAATTATGAGAATTCGCGGAATTGTAGAAGGAATATCGCGCACTCTACGCACGTGTTGCCGAAGTGGCCGCTTTATATACAAATTCGCAAACTTAAAAGCCGTATAATGCGATTCAAACGTTATGGTTGTGAAGTTAGCAGCGAACACAACTTTGCGCAGATTTTACTTCAGTGACATCCACCAACGGCTCAACTCACACTGGCCAAGAATGGAAGCGACGTGACGCATCATGTATTTCGCCCTGGGTATACCATAATAATAAATTTGATACATGCTAAAAACATGAAACCTGGTATTACTTCGACGCGCGTCGGGAAATACCATACCTTCATATTGGGAAAATATGATGATATAGATGAAACATGACGTGTCGCGTCGCTTCGACTCTGCTCCAGTGTGAGTTGAGCCTACATCGCCCTATTAAATTCAAAATGGTATAAATGGTCAAAGCAGACGCTTGTAAAACGCGCATCGCCAACCTTTTAAACACTTCTTCACGAGTTTTTAAACGAAAGAAGAAAAGAGATTTAGAGGATTTTAAAGAAATATAAAATATATTTCTTAATCTACAAGTTTTAAAACTAACGCCAAAATTTGTTAACACAGAACATAGAGCAGCGCATCCAGGACGAGTACAGGCGCGTGAGCAACGACCCCGCCTACCAGCAGCAGCGGCGGCGCGTCAACTTCCTGCACCGCAAGCTGACCCACATCAAGCGGATGGTGCACCAATACGACCGCCTAGTATGTACCGAATCATTAGTACCAACAACGCCAACATTTTTTAACACAGAACATAGAGCAGCGCATCCAGGACGAGTACAGGCGCGTGAGCAACGACCCCGCCTACCAGCAGCAGCGGCGGTGCGTCAACTTCCTGCACCGCAAGCTGACCCACATTTAGCGGATGGTGCACCAATACGACCGCCTAGTATGTACCGAATCATTAGTACCAACAACTCCAACATTTTTTAACACAGAACATAGAGCAGCGCATGCAGGACGAGTACAGGCGCGTGAGCAACGACCCTGCCTACCAGCAGTACGACCGTCTGGTGTGTACCGAATCATGAGTACCAACAACGCCAACATTTGTTAACACAGAACATAGAGCTGCGCATCCAGGACAAGTACAGGCGCGTGAGCAACGACCCTGCCTACCAGCAGTACGACCGTCTGGTGTGTACCGAATCATGAGTACCAACAATGCCAACATTTGTTAACACAGAACAGAGCAGCGCATCCAGGACGTGTACAGGCGCATGAGCAGCGACCCTGCCTACCAGCAGTACGACCGTCTGGTGTGTACCGAATCATGAGTACCAACAACGCCAACATTTTTTGACACAGAACATAGAGCAGCGCATCCAGGACGAGTACAGGCGCGTAAGCAACGACCCCGCCTACCAGCAGTACCCACGGCTATCTGGTGTGTACCAAATAACACTTAACATTGAGCTTCATTAGGATTCACTGGAATGTACTCGAACTACAAGTTGAGTACCAACAGGGACGCCAGAAAGACGCCTCCATCTTTCTACTTAGGAAGACCACAATTATGCACGGTTTCTTTATCAGGAAATCAGTTCGGGATTCCGTGAACCTAGCGAAAAGATTTCGTTTCTTTATTAGGTAGTTTCCGAACGAAACGTCGGGCTTTTTTCCATTTTGAAAAAATAAAAATAGTGTGCGCCTCGTTGAACATTTTGTATGCAAAGACGTGTATTCAGGTCTCCGAATCGGAATTCCGGTTCAGAAAATCGTCTATAAACGCCCAGCCTTAAACTTTACATTCTTTACTCAATTAAGATAGACATGAGAGAAAAGCCACAACAAACGAGACTCAACTTAAAAGCTGTGCTTTAAAAATAAGTGACACACTCACTCACACAACAACTGAATGCATTTGTTTTTCGAAACTTTCAATGTAGTGTTTTATTGAATTGCTCAGAATGTTAAGTCAAGTTGAAATCTCTAACAGGTAAAGCGTCTACAGACGAGTAAACCCTAATCTATAAAATCTTACTCTGACGTTCATTCTCCATTCAAAGACACTGGAAGGTTCCAGCACGTCTTTGATTTAGTTATTTCGTTCTGGTGCGGACTAGAAAGATCCCTTTGAGATGGTGCCTTCGCAAACCAGGTCTATAGGTTTAAGTTTTATCATCAGGTGGACTATGTTGCTGTACCTACGTGAGTACTCGGTCTGTCGATTTCCAATCACACGGAAACTGGAGGCTCTACAAGGCGACTCGATGCAAAGAAGATCGTCAAGAAACATCGGGCAACCACATATCAAGCCATATGCGATAATACGTTATGAATGGGAAGCAAAATTGCGCACTTGATGTGTGGTCTCCTGTATTTATATTAATATAAGCTTACTTTTAGTATAATAAAGTTATGCCCAAAGTCTTGTTTCAAACACTTTTACACTTACTAACAATTTTTATTTGTTATTACTACATATTAGTAAAATGCACAAGTCTCTCGAGACGAATGGAGAACGTAATTCGATTTCTCCGCGAAATGCAATATATTTTTGTACATATAAAATTCATAGTGAAATAAAGTCTTACTTGGGAGTTATTAATTGTTACTAATTCTAATTAATAAATATGATTATTTTTAAGTTTTGTTGTTATTTTCATTTACATAAAGTAAAAAACATTCAATTTCCTATAGAATCTATAAGCTTTCATAGCTTATAGATTAAAATCTTGGCAAAGATAAAATGTGAAATAACTCACAAAAGAGAAGAAAATTTGAAAAAGAAACACAACTGGAAAAAGTCAATAGCAATGAATGATAAGAAAACTATTGTAATACGAAAATCTTTTTAAATTAATAATGCAGTGGCTCGTTACCACAGGCTCTTATCAATGTTCTTTGGAGACTAGGCATATCTACTTATTACATAGCTATTATTATTAAACTAAGACACAAATAGGTGAGTAACGTAATATAAAAGCAGTGTTCCTGAGATGCTGCCGCCTAAACATCGTGTCTGCGCTGTATGTATCCAGACAACGGTACGTTTAGTGTGTAATGTGACTTAAAACCTGACTCAATTAAGACAATGCTATAACGGGTTTTTATCGACTTCCTTCATTCCTATGACCTTTAGAATAGCTATAACTCGTGTCATCTAAGAAAGGAATCGTTAATGACAACGTAGACATTCTGTCCCTCTCGCACATGCTATCCTAAGTAACGTGCGAGAGAGACATAATGACTTGCGTCGACATTTTCGATTCCTAACGAGTTATACTCATAATTTGGGTCATCTAGTCTTACATACTGCGTAGGTGGATTTCTTTAAATGCTATGTGTAAACTACTATTTAAGCTAACCATCATAAATTAATTTTATCATTATATAAAATATCTGTAAGTTAAATTTTTTATCATTTCAAGACTGCACCTCATTTAAAGGATTACGGAGACATGCCTGTAAGTTTACATTATTTACCGTAGTTATGAATATATTCTCTTGGGAACATCTGTCGGCCCACCTAGCATTTTTAAAGTTTTGGTCTTTATGGTTTTAACGGTCCCTAGATAAAAATAAATGTTTCATTGAGCAAAAAGTTTTAGAGCTGATTCATTAACCATATTTATCGGGTTTTTAAAAAAAATATTTTGCTCAACCAATTCAATAATATTTTTGCTACAGACCGTTGAAACTTATAACACTAAGTGGTCCGACGGATGTGTCTGAAAGTTTAGATTTGCGTTTGCACGTCATGAACTTGTTGATATCAGAACTTATAATGTATAGGTAAATGCTAATATTTACACAGAACATAATGACGGCACGTTCCTTGGCTATTGGTATTTGCTATTTGTCATTTTGATAGCAGGTTGTTCTTATCAAGCTTCATAGAGATGAAAAGAGAATGAAAAGGTGAGAATGTTTTCAAGTTTACAAATAGCAAATACGAATAACCATGTGAAGTGCTGGCATAATTTCACATAGTTATTGGTAATTGCTGAAGGAGTTGACAGCAGTATATCCGCATTAATATCATGCTCTGTGTCAGTATAAGATATCTGAACCACTACTAAAGATCTACATAAAATCTAATAACATAAATATATTATCCTAATTTTTTTTTGTAGTTTTCGTAACTACTTAACTTCTTGATTGTGACACTTTCATAATAAGCTGCATTCTGCTACAAATATTCTGGGTTCGAATCCCGGTAGAGAATTAAATTATATGATAAACAAGAATTATTATTTTCAGAGTCCTACATGGTTGCTTAATTGTGAATGGCCGGAATTTAATACTTTAAAAAAATACTTTTTACACACTCAGGACCACTTGCACCAACATTCTTAAGCTTAATCATGTTTATAAAGTCACTATTCCTCGTCAATTGTTCAAAGTGAAAAAGAGATAGGATTAGTTTAAATATGATTTTGCTTAAAATTTCAATAATGAACTTTGGAACATGTAAGCCTCAATATGTTAGAATAGAAGAGCAAGGATGTAATTTGAAAAGTTTCTACACTAAAGAGGAACTGTCAGGCTCTTGTCATGTTTTAGTTTTTTTATTTTTTACATGCAAAGACAGTTAATGAACATCAAAGAAAACACACTTTTTCAATTATCCTTAAAATAAAATGAATAGATGCCACATTCCTAATATCGAATATTACTCTCATAAACGCCATCTCTTGGTCAGAATCGACAAAGATTTTATAAGTATTTTATAAGTTATTGCTTTCTGAGTACTTAAACACGATTATCTAGATATGGATATTGAATTTAATGTAAGTATGTGTGGTATCTATTTTTTTATTTATCCATGTCATTTATTTACAGCGCAACTTGAAAACGGAACGCGTCGCGACCGCTAGTACGACGCAAGCATACTGACACTCAAGTAATTCGCCGCCCGCCCGCTGCCTCTAGTTACTACTTCAACTAACACCGACCCAACATCGCAACTGGTTGAATATAAACATAAGTACACTCGGGAACAAACCGCATCACGTTGAACGAATGGTACGTGTGACCATAGATAAAGTATCGAGAGATATCGAAAAGTAGTTGTTGTATAATCGCTGAACTACGTATGGGGAATATGTATGAGCGATCATCGTATGACGAAATGTTTCGTAGCGTGGTTGTCTTTTGAGCAATAATATACTTGATGTCTGCATATGAGATTCTGATCTCTCAGTGTCAAGTATACGCATTTGTTGTGTATGTGATAGGTATGAAAGTTCGCTCGCTTCTCTTTTCGTCGTGGTGGTACTAAAATGGCTTGTGGCGCGTCACAGGTGATTCATAAAGTAGCACGTGCGTTGAAGCCACTTAACACGATCTAACATATCTGATCGACTGACACTTTCACAAGAACCGTTGAAAGTTGACCTAAAGGGAGCTTGCTTCGAGATTACGTATTGCTGCGGAGATTTTTAATGTTTAATAAAAAGAAATACTGAACACTCATTACAACTTTCAATCCCATGATCGGGTAAAATCGATTTGGAATTTGTCTTTTGTGTTTTAGAACACTGGTATTATTGTTGAAACGCAGAATATGCAGTTTGTTCCGCGAGGGTGCCCCCATAAGAATTCTATTTTTGTACGTCAGTATCTCCCGTAATGATAAGAGAGCGAATTCTTAGCCTTTGTATTCTGAACAGTGGACAGTCCTGTCAAAGCCGCGCTGACTGTAATGCAATTATATTTACAATGATTCGAGTTATTATTCTGTTGACCATCTTTATGGTTTTATCGCCTTCGACGAATGTAATTAGTATTTTGGTAGGATTATGTGAAAATGCCTGCCTCGTTGGGGGCTATGCTAGTGTGTATTACGCTATTTCCTATTCGTATTGAATTACTCGAACAAAGTTACACAGAGTTCGTTAGGTATAATATCAAATTATTTTCGATGACAACCGGAAATATTGAGTCATCGTGACAAAATTGTTGCGCGTCCATGAACTTCATATCAATGCTAGGTACGTTTAATTTTGAACCAGTGATACACATAGGCGGCCTGCCAATTTGGCAACTCTTAGGTACTCGCGAAGGGAAACTAAATGGTTAAAGCAACACAGTTCTGTAAATAACTTATATTATTTTTAAAATATTTTGAGTTGTAAAAATGTTCTTCCATTTACTTATAGAACTGTGCCTTAACCGAGTCTACATAATATATTTCTGTGCGCGATCAGTTCGTCGATACTCGCATGATAGAGATCCAATTTAAACTACTATAAGTAAACTTGTGTACAATTTGTGTAACATAATTAATTGCTTTTTATTTCAACTTAAAATTTGATGATTTCTGTTTGGAAATCTATGTTTTAATATAGAATTTCTGCATAGAAATTCTCAAGTGGCATAGTTCATGCTTCTTTTCTCCTGTTGACGTGACATTGAGTACTTTGACATGAGCAGGCAGCGCTTGCCCCACGTCGACACACGATATTTCTTGAAGAACTATCGGTCCTCCTTATCAAAGACTAATTAGACCGGTTGTTTTTTGTATTGTAAATAATAAATATGTATACCTATGTGAACTTTAAATTATCAAGTAATAATAGTCCAATAGTAGATATTTGTTCGTCCACATTTTATTCCATTCGAAAAGTATTGCCGTCTAAAGTTATTGTTGTCCAAATTTAATGCTTATACTGATGGCAGATTTATTTTACTATATTTCTCTTATTGCGATATGTAAATAAAGGTCAACATTTTTAAACTGGATCAATTTGAACCTCGAGAGTATTAGTCAATTTTGAAGATCATCGGGCCTTGATAGCAATTATTGTGCATTTTTATCTATACTACTTATATTTAGCCTGATATCGTCCCTTTTGCTTCTAAAAATCCATCCAAATTTAAATGTTGGACGTACATTTCATTTTATTCGTCTTGCCCAGCTTGCATGTTGTATATAGTATAATAGTGTCTTATATATATAATAATCATTAAAAAAGATTTATCTCGTTCTTGTTGAATTTTGTTATGGGTAGTGTAATATTGTCCTTCCTTTTCAAAATAATATAATTATTTATTCAGCTAATGAGCTGTGTCGTCGTATTCCCGCTGCAAACATCTACGTATAATATATATCCTTAAGATTCATCGAGAATGTCACAAACGAACAACACGAAGGATGGCGCATAGGTTTAGGAATGCCTGTGGAAATATTACGACGGAGCTCGTTACGTTTAATACGGCCATAGAATTTGCCAATTTAACATTTTTATAATTATTGATTGATTTTCAATTGCCAAATAAATGTCTTGAAAGTTAGCAACAACCGGCCAGTGTTAAAACATCCACTAGAAGTAAGGTATTCTGGTCCTCTTTCAGATATACCCTCCAGGACATGATAAGAAATAATTTTAGTAATTTTAGTCAGCATTCGGGCCAGTCGACCGCTTCATTGACCCAAGTGTTAGAGTATTTATGACCTTTAACGTTTATGTAGAATCGGCTTTTTCGCGTAACTTTTTTATTTTCACCTTCGTTTTGTCACTCCTAAAGCTCTATATATGATGAATTTTTGATATTGTTGTTTGAGTAGCCTTTATTCTTTTCATTCATAATTAAAAGTTTTAAATCCGTTAATTCTAATTATATATTTAAGTGTATTCTTTTAAATTACTTGGTTCAATGAATTACATAATTAAGGAATATTATTTTTTAGAAATTGAATAATATAAAATTGAAAAAATATTGCCATCAAAGTTGTCCTAAATATAGAGATTACAAACGGTCTTCTGGTCCCTGGCCCATCTGCGTTTAAACCGTCTTGCGTACTTTGTCCTATGAGTAACGTCCATATATTTGAAAAATGATTTTAGCATTAAGTAACTCTGATTTAAATCTTAAAATGAGGCCATGTCATTTAATGCCTGTCCAGTCCCTTTTTACAGTTGTATGCGTATATAAAGAACCGCAAAAGGCGTCCTTAGCAATTTGTTATCTTTGTTGAATACATTATGATAATATAAATTATATTACGAACAATTCGGATAGGTTTACGAAACCTTGTTGTGCGACACTATTGTTTCAGTTAGTTTTTGTCAATTAAACGTGTCAAATGCGGCTTTACATTTTAGTTTTCATTAGAATTGTCAATTGTTTTATGTATATACAGAAAATAATATATTTTCATTATGATGTATGTCAACTTATTTGGTCAATTCAAACATTAGTGTCCTTTTGTTGCTCATTGGGGATCATTAAGTTTATATGCTTTTTTACTCATGTGAATGCTCATTATTGTGGACATGATATTAGTATTTAAAAATTGGCTTTGCGTTTTTATTTATATCTCTTTTTACTTTTCCAACAGGATAAAATTATTAAACCTTTACACAACTTTATTCATAATGTTATTGTGTATCGATATACGAGACACATAACAAATGATAGGTACTAAAGTTTTCAGAATCATATCTTATTTAAAAATATATAAATTTGTATACATTGAATAAAATACCGTAGACTCATACTTACGTCAAATTTTAATAAATTTAAAATCAGATGAAAATGTTATTGTTACCACTAGTATAAGCACTATCAATTGTTTTTTTATATTATTATCTAGTAGCGTTCGAGTATTACTGATTATATAATAAACAAATCATTTGTTTTTTCAACAATATAATTTCTTATTATGTTAAATATTTTCGAGGAATTGTTAATTATTGGTGAGGATATTGTAAAAGATGCATTCCATTTCATCCGTTGTTTTAGCACTGTTCATCACTGCACCTATTAACATGCATAGTGTATACTTACAGAATATATTTTTACAGACCTTGAATATCAATATGTAGAAGATGTAAGTCTATGTATGTATGTTGGGACAATGTCGTAACTTTGAGGCTTATTGTCTTTTATAGGAGTGGACGCTGAGCCAAACCCATATTTACAATCCAGACCACTTATGAATGATACTATGAAATTAAACATACTATTAAAACGTAAAGATATCCCTTTTAAAGTAATTCATAACATTATTGATATCTAATGTACTGTCACAAAGGGAGTAATGAATTATCATGTTGCTCGATTGTTACCGAATAAGTTATTAGTATGTTTGGACAGAAATATTTGTATTTTGTCATGTTTATACAAAGGAAAAAATATCTCAATGAAATATCATAGTCCATTGTACAGAATAGGCGATATTTAGGATCTAGTGAAGTTTCTTTTTCTTAAATCCTAGTTAGTGATATATTAGGAGTACTAATATCCAAATATATATTATGGTTGTTTGCGTCATGACAACATCGCTAGTATCATTTTTTATATTATATAAGTTATGTTTGCCAATATTTACTTACTTTTGTAGATATTATCAGTGAGGTTGTGTTAACCCCGTCTTTTTAACTTTAAACAATGAATTAGGCCTATTTCATTTGTATTCACGTATACATGAATGGCGTTACTGTCATGCGCAAACGTTACAAATTATATTACTTAACATAGCTGATATTATAGCGGCTTAATGCGGGCGTTACATACATGATCGATACCTTATTTTAATTCCTAGATATAGATCTTTGAGTTTGCGTATTTTGATCAAATGTTACTATTGTAAATTTGCTGTACAGTAATCAGACATCGGCCACCGACGCGCGTCTCCGCTCCTTATCGGCCTACCGAGCAAGACTGTCGATTCGCCGAACAAGTATATGTATTATGTCAATGTAAATAGAGTACGAATTAGACTCTTAGAAATATTAAGGGATTATTAGTAGTGTTTTTATTTTATTATATTATATTCAACGTGTGGAAGGGGGAGTTTATAAATTATTAAATGGGTGTAGTAGATCGGTAGAAGGAGCGGATCGCGCGACGAAGGCCCAGCGCTCAGGCGCGACGTAACAATGCTGCGATATTCCTTGTGCCCCTTGAAATATCAGTGCATTATAATATGAGTCAAGATGTATAGACGATGCGGTAGTGTTATTGTGTATAGATGCGTTATACGAGTTCGGTCCGGCGGACGAGCGAGCGGTGCTCGCCAGCCGGTTCGAGCGAACGACGACTAGCTATGAATCCTGACATCGGCTCACGTTAATTAGCTTTTAAATATTTCATCAAAATATAAAATACACAAAAAAATGGATATAAATTTCTCGACCAAGTACTGGTTGTTTTTAAATTATTAAAATGTAAAAAAAAATTAGAATATAAACAAAGTATAGGTACAATTTATGAATTATACTTTTCTTTTCGGCATTTCATGTGACAGTGGAAGGGAACTAGCTTTCTTTTGCTACTTGAAATTGTTTGTGTAAGCGAGACAGAGAGTGTCCGTGCAGTGCGTCGAGAATACGCCCATTGGAGCAATCTTACACAATGTCGTATATTTCTATATATTTTGTGATTTATTTTGCTCATGTCCTCTTCCATTGCTTTTTATTTTTGTTTGTCGACTATGTAAATGTATAATATGATTTTTGCTAAGGCAGGGTAATGCAGACATGAGAAGAGGTACTTTTTAATTTGAATTGATTGATGATTTGTTTGAATGTTTAAATTGAGTTGATTTTATCCATTCAATGGATTTGTATTGTTACGAAAGGAGCTAGAGTTTGTTGTTTTTGTTTAATAAGTCATTATGAATTTCGATTAATGAGGCAGCAGATTTGTTAAATATAACTGTCAAGTTACCACAAAAACAATAGTCAGTTAAAGGCTCTCTTTGGCGTTGCACTTAAATGTGTAAGTTTTGAAAGGATGCGAACGCGAGATGTTAGCACAGCACAGCACAGCTGGAAATTATATACGTTGTCAGTATTACACCATGCAATAAACATGAGCTGGAGAGAGGTTGTGAAGAGTATCGTTATAAAAGGTACCTATTCAAAATCTGGATGTACAGACTAACTCGGTCATAACCGACAGATAGTGTTGCTGCAATGTGCATTTATGCCATCTTCATTTGAATTATGGAATCAGTGCCAAACTTTCTCCTTCTTTTAGCTCAAAATAATGCAATTGTTAGCATGCTTGATGAAACAGCTAAGTAATTGTTTAGTTAGTCTGCCATTTTGTGAATATTTTGTTTTGATAGTAATATGTAAATCTTTTATAATATATTTGTTTACAATAAATAAATGACAACATTATAAATAAATGAAATTGTATTTTCCATTTAAACTGATGAAAAAAAATATAAAAAGAATAATATGCAATGATACTTGTTGTTTCATTTTAAACCTTGATTTTGGTATATTATATTAATTTCTACAAAGTCAAACAATAATTTTTGTAGGTACCAGAACTTCTAACTCTTATTCGCCAATGAACTACCAGGGGCTATTCAAAATAGGACTAAACATTTAGTCAAGATGTTAAAAATGTACTTATTTTTAACCTATTATTTTTTCAAGATCCATAACAAAATTAGTTCCCTAAAACTCCGAAGATTTTTTAACACCGTAAACTGGGGTGAATAACAACATTATTTGAAAGGAGTTTGCGCAAATTGGCCCAAGTGCACAAAAAATATTGACATACACGGTAATTCTTGGCGTAATTTATAATTAAATTTACAGTCATTAGATTTCAACGAACACCTTTAAAATATATTTACTTTAAAAAGGACTTTTTAATTTTACCGGTTTGGAAAACATACGAATCATTTTTAATGACTATGGGTGTAGTAACATTCAGCCAAAGACTGATCGAAGTTGTTTGTAACATGAAAATAAATCTATTTTGTAATGATCGATAAAATCCATAACTATATTATCATTTTCACTACAGACAAATGTGCTCAGACAATTATTATAGATGGTAGGCGACATCATAAAGCCTATTGCCATACATTTTTCGCCAAACACCTCCATAAACACATAATAATCTATATATATGTTAGGCATTGTCCTAATACAACGCGAATGAGCGATGCGATCATCGTACGAGTCGACGATCAAACATATTGATCTAGAATAGGTGTCCTAATAGGCTATCGCGCGATGCATTCGCGCGACTATAATGTTTAAAAATCTATTCGCGCGATCTTAGTTCGCGCGAACGCGCAATCAAACCTATTAACGATGAATAGGTGTCCAAACCGAAGTTCGCGCGCTGATCGCGTCGCGTCGATAGGAAGCGGGGAGAGGGGCAGGGCTAACCCGTTCCGTATTCGCGTTCTATTCTATTAGGACACCCAGTTCGCGATCACGCGATGGTCGCATCGTTTAAACGCGCGATAATCGCGTTATCGCGTTGTATTAGGACAATGCCTTTGACTTTAAGGTATCTATCTATGGGCATACGTTCCCTGACTATAAATTAATAAATAAATAAAATTATAAGGTGTGATACACTAAAAATCTAAAATATGGTTATCTTAAAAACATAACAAAAATAATGAAGCTACTGAATATATGGCTATAGAACCTAAATCTCTTAGCTTTCTTTGGTTAACGAAAGTTTAAAAATTCTCTCTAATCTGTGGCTCATTCACAATCATCACACAGTTTCTGTCACAGAGTACCTTATTATAACCGGAAATGACACCTGATTTTAAAAGTTACTCTTATGCATTAACTTTAAAAACAGGCAACTATCTGTTAATCTACATGTTCTATGTACCTGAATCTAATCCATAATTTCGGTACTTGGCTTGATTTCCCTAGTTTACTATACAGGGTGTTTGGAAGATGAGTGCAAAGCTCTAAAGGAAAGCTAACAGAGATCATTTAGAAACATTTGAGCCATACTTGTCATAGATGAAGTCTGACCACTTTATTTTTAATATTTTTTAACGGTTTTAAAGAAAATAACCTAAAAGTACGCAGTTAGTTCGAAATATTGGCTAATTGACATAATAAATGAATTCTTTTTGATTTTATTTGATAAAACAAGTGTCAAGCAAACTAAGAAAAAATGTTTAAAAATCTGTATCAGCAAACATTTTTTTACAGATATTTAAAATTATCGTAAATTTTTAAAATGGTATAAAGCTGTTTATCTTAGGCTTACAAAAAAAACACGGAGGGTGTTTTGTTTGTTCAAAGCTTTTGAAAAACATGTTCAGTTATTGTACTTTCTTTTGAGGTATTGTTTATGCAAATTGCTTAGAAATTGTTGAAACTAAGACTGCCAAAGGATGGAGAGGATTTCTGCCAAATTGAGGAAGATTTTTTTAAATTTAAGATGAAATAATTAAAACAAAATTTCAACTGAAATCACTTATTTTTCGTGTTCAAAATGTTCGCCGCGATTTCTAACACACGCACGGGCCCGTGTTCTTACTTGTTGTCGTTATTTTCAACATCATCTCCTGTTTCATCGTTTGAAAAGCTGCATTTATTCTTTCTATTAATTGTTCTTTTGTGTTTATCTCCACATGAGTGTAAACTAGTTCCTTGGCCTGACCCCACACGAAAAAGTCCATTGGAGTAAGGTCAGGTGACCAAGCAGGCAAAGAGATTGGGCCATATCTGCCGATCCAGCTATCAGGGAAGCAAATATTTAAATGCTCTCTTACATTTAAAGTCCAATGGGCTGGACACCCGTCCTGCTGAAAGATGATGTTTTTCAAAAGCTTTGAACAAATAAAACACCCTCCGTGTTTTTTTTGTAAGCCTAAGATAAACAGCTTTTTACCATTTTAAAAATTTACGATAATTTTAAATATCTGTAAAAAAATTGTTTGCTGATACAGGTGTTTTAAACTCTTTTTCTTAGTTTGCTTTCACATTTGTTTTATGAAATAAATTCAAAAAGAATTCATTTATTATGTCAGTTAGCCATTATTTGAACTAACTGTGTACTTTTAGGTTTTTTTCTTTAAAATCGTTAAAAATTCTTAAAAATAAAATGGTCAGACTTCGTCTATGACAAGTATGGCTCAAATGTTTCTAAATGATCTCTGTTAGCTTTCCTTTAAAGCTTTGCACTCATCTTCCAAACACCCTGTATAACTTATTTGTTTTTTATTATTTTAATATGTTCAGTGTATATGGTTTATAGAAGTTCTCAGGGGTGTCCGTCAATAATATTCGTTCCTACAGTAATTTATATATAATTTCGAATCTAGGAAACAATTTTTCATGATTATTGGTCTTTAGGCCAAACATGTATGGCAGCTGAGCAATCTCCTTTAGACCTTATTATCATTCACATTATAATTCAAATAAGAATAGGAAAGCCAATGACCTCCAACTGTCAATCTTTTTTTTGCTCACTCTACCTATTTGGTTTGAATTGACAGCTATGACGTCAAAATATGGCGTCCAGTCGGTCCTATTCTTAATTGAATCGCATTATATTTGTTGCACCTTGATTTAGTTGCATCTGCTACCACCAAATTCAAGCTGTGACAAGGTTAAAAAATGCTCGAGAACGTTGGTTCAGAATTCTGGTTTGGACACCTTTGTTTATTCTTACCATGTTAGCGCCATTATCGTACCCTTGACTTCGACAATCGTTCATATCCAAGTCAACTTCATGCACAATTTCATCAAGAAAAAGGTTAGTGTGCCCTTCTTCTGAAGAGTCACTTAACGGCTTGTAAGCAACGAAACACTCCCGTACTTTCACTTCTTCTCCATTAGTGTCAACAAAACGGAAAGTTATTGATAATTGTTCAACGTGGCTTACATCAAGAGTGCAGTCCAGTATGATAGAGAAGTATTTGGATGACTTAATCATAGTCAAAATTTTATTTCGAACTTTACTTCCAAATAAGCCAATTAACCCGTTCCCCTCACCGCCTCCCTGTTCGTCGCTCGTCGCTACTCGCCGGACAACAATACGATTTGCTTGCGCGCAGGTCGATCGGTACCTAGTCGGGCGTTCGGCCGTTTTCGGCGCCCCCCATATGACGGACGGCGCCCAGTGCGGTCGCACCGCCCTAGGGCCGCCCCTGTCCATAATGTCAAATGAATACTTTTACAAGTATTAAACATTTGAAAGAAGAAATAGCAATTATAGTTATAATTTTTTTAAGCATGTAACTACTTGATGTTTAAATCCAAAGAAAATATAACTAGCAAAAAAAATTCATGCGGACCAGGCAGCAGACGGAACTCGAACCCTCACCCTTCGCAATCCGGGCGAATGCACTGACCAATTATGCTACCGCGGCTCTCACGGCCCGCGTCGAAATTCTTCTTGCCATTCTTAAGCTGCAAGGCAGCGCCATTTCTTCGCATTGTAGGTAACCCATAATGTCAAATGAATACTTTTACAAGTATTAAACATTTGAAAGAAGAAATAGCAATTATAGTTATATTTTTTTTAAGCATGTAACTGCTTGATGTTTAAATCTAAAGAAAATATAACTAGAAAAAATTCCACGCGGACCAGGCAGCAGACGGGACTCGAACCCGCACCCTTCGCAATCCGGGCGAATGCACCAATTATGCTACCGCGGCTCTCACGGACCGCGTCGAAATTCTTCTAGCCATTCTTAAGCTGCAAGGCAGCGCCATTTCTTCGCATTGTAGGTAGGTAACCCATAATATTTTTTCTAGTTATATTTTCTTTAGATTTAGGACAACGTATTGTCGTCGTACACACTGGTTCTGAACCCGGCTTCGTGCCAAATGCGCTATTGCTATTTGAATCGGGTGCTAAGACAGGAGACTACCACGACGATATGAACTACGAAAACTATTCCAAATGGCTTACTACGCAATTAATACCAAATCTTCCACCGAAATCCGTCGTAGTAGTAGACAATGCAGCAATTTAAAAACGCCAATACAAGTAAGTCCGAAATGCAAGCATGGTTAACGGCGAAGGGTATAGCATTCAGGCCGACCATGAGGCAGCTTTATGCTTTAATAAAGGAAAATAAAGATAAATTTAAAAATTATAATGTGGATAGGCTACTAAGCGAGCATGGCCAAAGTATTCTCCGTTTGCCGCCATACCACCCAGATCTACATCCCATCGAAATGGCATGGGCTGTAATTAAAGGTTAGTTCCAAAAACGTACATGTTATGGAACTCGTTAAAGAGAAGTTAGAGGCTGTAGGAGCTAGCGAGTGGAAGAAATTATGTAATAAAATTAAGGCAATTGAAGACGATTATAAAAAAAGTGATCATGTGGTGGATAACATGACAAGTAGGTGATACAGACAGCAGTGGAAGCGAATCAGAAGATTCTGAATTTGAAGATGTCGGTGCGAGTACCAGCAGAGGCCTTTCATCTTCAAGTGATATAGAGACTTACACCAGTATAGAGGGAGTAACTCCATTAAGCGATAGAAGATTGGACATCATTGCATTCATTTTAAAACCATGATTAAACTGATTAAACTCTGATTGAGTAAACTTAAATTTGTGCTCTATAAATGGATCACACCGGAACTCTTACATATACCTATGCCATTGAATATCTAACCACATAAGTGGTCGATGACCTATGCATATGTTTTTATATGTGATCTATTAATGCAATTTGCTATTTCTTTTTTAATAAAGCTATAATATGTTTTCTTTGGTTTTATTTATTTCATTAATTTCCAAATAAGATTTTTCCCAAATATAGTAAATTAGGTTTAATTCGTTATTTGATCACGTCAGTACCTGCGCAGAAACCACCATCTTGTGTCTAGTTCAGTCTAGTTTCGTGCCGGGCACTTGTAAGGGTGCGGCCAGAGTGCACTCAGATTCAGATTCAGATTCCGAAAACAACGGGTGCGGCCAGAGTGCACTCAGATTCAGATTCTGAAAACAAGCGCGAGAAATAAACAGTGTAGTCTAAGCAGGTTGCCTGCTTTTTCTCGCGCTTTGTTTTCTGAGTCTGAATTTGAATCTGAATCAGGAGCGCACTCTGGCCGTACCCTTCGACTACACTGTTTATTTCTCGCGCTTGTTTCCGGAATCTGAATCTGAATCTGAGTGCACTCTGGCCGCACCCAACCGCGAGAAATAAACAGTGTAGTCTAAGCAGGTTGCCTGCTTTTTCTCGCGCTTTGTTTTCTGAGTCTGAATCTGAATCAGGAGTGCACTCTGGCCGTACCCTTCGACTACACTGTTTATTTCTCGCGCTTGTTTTCGGAATCTGAATCTGAATCTGATCTCAAGACTTAGGGTGCGGCCAGAGTGCACTCAGATTCAGAGTCAGATTCAGATTCTGAAAACAAGTGCGAGAAATAAACAGTGTAGTCGAAGGGTACGGCCAGATTGCACTCCTGATTCAGATTCAGATTCAGACTCAAAAAACAAAGCGCGAGAAAAAGCAGGCAACCTGCTTAGACTACACTGTTTATTTCTCGCGCTTGTTTTCAGAATCTGAATCTGACTCTGAATCTGAGTGCACTCTGGCCGCACCCTATGTCTTGAAACTAACTTTCATGGCATCTGGCATATTAAATGACAGCATACGTCAAATGTTGCCAATACAAAAAAAATAAAACCGTTCAAAGCATAGAAAAACCTTTCTTTCAACAAGTACACATTACAACAACACATTGCATTGAGGAAGTCTATTTTTTTTTCTAAAATGTTGCTATCCACCCCTCACTTGTTAGACACCCCAGATCACGGTACTTGAAACATGAGTATCCACAGCGCCCTTCTTGACTGCAGGACTATTGTATCCATGGTTAGAATAAAATAATAAATTTAAAAAAGGTCATTATCGAGCAGCATTCTTAATCTACGCTCTGAGTGAAACAAATCTTGTCTACCATGTTCAAGAGCTTGAGATTCTTAAGTTCATAAAATCTTTATTTTTTTTTGCTTTCCTGTAAAATTTGTTGGCAGAGATCACCGCTGTAAGCTAAAGTTTAAAACTATTCGTTATTTTTCTTGTAACTGATTACTTCTCACAACGATATTAAATACCCTAGATATACCAACACGAGCAAAATCATGCCCGAAATCTGTCCAAAAGGTACATTGTAGAATCCACGGTGCTCCGTAAGATGATCGCGTAATCTCCAATCCAAGAAAAAAGAAAGATAAAGAAACTATAACTTCATGCAATCAACCAACCCACTGGTTATTTTTTTTAGGCCATAAAAAAGAAAAAGAAGAGGAGTTTTGGCGGGACTTCAATGAGTGCGGCTGGCGTCTTATTTTAAATATTCTTTAATTCTTTTTTAATGGATATTGTGATATGAAATTCGTATGATAAAATTGGTATGATTCTGTGTTACAACCGTCTGCGCAACTGAAGATTTAGTGGAATCTTTAAAATATACGTTATTTTGGTCAAATGGACGTGAGAAATAGTGTTGACTACCTCACAGAAGTTTATCGTAAAAACCAATTCGATACATTTCGTGCCAAATACTCCAAGAAATATTAGAATGTGTCACACCAACATGACATTCTAATGTGAAAAAAAAAGATTTATGGGCATTGTCCTTTGCCTTCCCTAAAACGGAGAATCTTAAAAAGCAAAAGAAGAACCTACTGGGTTGCGTTCCTAACCTGCGTTATGAGTGCAACTTTTAACCCTGACGTTTCAATGTTGACAACAAATTTATGGAACTTAAGTCAAATTTAAACACATGTTGCTCCTCGAGCTTAAGTTTGAAACGCAACCCTGTGCGTCAAGTCAATTATCGAACGAAATATGGCATCCGTTCGTTCCTGTTTTACGTGATTTCTTAGTTTGCATCGTGTAGAGAATATTATTTTTTTAAATAACAAGTAATAACAGCCACAGTTTTGATAATTATCTGAGTGATAGACTAAGATTTTAATATGATTCACTTTAAAGATAATAAAAGCAAGTCTGCACTCAGTACAAGATGGGCTCAGATGTCAAAGCAAGAACAAATTATAGAAAGAAAGAAACTTGAAATCCAGGCTAAATTGGAGGCTCAGAAACAAGCGGCAGCTCTTGCTGCCCATGCAAAACTATCCAAGTATAAATTATTTTCCTTTTTTATATATATTTCTTGGAATGAAATTTTATAATTAAATTACAATGAAACCTAGCTTTAACTTTAAACCAGACAGTCACTGTTTAGTTTATGTCCTAACAGTTTTATATCCAGAGAATCTGGCAAATATGTATTTTTGTTATATTTGATTAAGCTTCTATTTTCATATTTTTTACCTATTACTAAGGCCACACATAACCTCTGTTGGATTTGTAAGTAATATTTTGTATTTTAGCCCTTCTGCAAAAGAAGAAACAGGCTCAGCAAATATATTTTCCAATGATGGTAGTTTCATGAGTCACTTCAAGGCTCTCCTTGAGAAACAGCACAAGGAGAAGAAAGAAAAAGAAGAGAAAGAAAAAGAAAAGTTAGCAGAAGAAATGAAGAAAAGTATCAAAAATGAACAGAAATCTAAGTCTCAGGAAACACAACAGTTAGAGCAGTCGGACACTCATGAAGAACATTCTGTGACTGAAAAAGATGATAGGAGAAGATCTAATGACAAAGGAACTAGGTAACAATTATTTTATTTAGTCTGTCTTTAAGTCATTTTTTTGGTTAACTACAAACCCACTTCAACTTAGCATGTTTATAATTTACTGTTAAAAATAACAAGGAGTTGAAATGACAGTACAAAATGATCATTCTAATAAATGTACAGCCAGAGTGCCTGCTCTAGTTTAGCATTGGGCCAGGCTAAGATTTGTTAGCGTTTTTCTTTGTATTAAAAAATTTGGTTAGTATACTAGTTATAATGGTGAAAATGTCAAAACCTTCAATAAGTGCACATTTGACAATGATGATTTGTTTAACATAAATGCTGCCCACTCCGTACATGACCAAAGTGGGCACTCTTTCCATACACTTGCTCATTATCTGATGAACTTTTAGTTTTTTTTCTTGTATTCAATCTAATATGTTATATATGTTTATTTTTATTTATGTAAATTTTCCAATACCTCAACAGAGATAGACGCCATAGATGGAGTGACAGAGGAAAAAACAGATCCCACAGTCCCATGACACCTGTTGTAGAAGACAGGAAGAAAGCCCCTGAAAGTAAAAATATTCCCTCCTTGATGCAGCTGTCAGTTGCCCCTCCTGATGATCCCAATTCAGACTCTGACAGTCATAATCAATGGAATATGCCATCTGGATTTGACCTAAAGGATGATTCTGATAATTCAAACCAAGGTAGTATGATGGGATCTGGGCCACCTGGCATGATGAGTGCAGGGCCAATGGGTCCAGGACCTATGGGACCTGGAAACATGGGTCCCGGTCCAATGGGTCCAGGTCCCATGGGACCTGGTCCTATGGGACCAGGAGGCATGGGGCCGGGTCCTATGGGATCTGGACCTATGGGCCCTGGTCCAATGGGACCCGGGCCGATGGGTCCAGGACCGATGGGACCCGGGCCTATGGGTTCAGGTCCGATGGGTCCCGGGCCTATGGGTCCAGGACCAATGGGACCCGGGCCGATGGGTCCAGGGCCAATGGGACCCGGACCGATGGGTCCAGGACCTATGGGACCTGGCCCAATGGGTCCAGGACCAATGGGACCTGGTCCAATGATGAGACCAAATGGGCCTGGTGGTCCTATGCCCTCATTTATGGGTGGACCCCCTAATTTTCCAATGCCTCCTAATTTTATGGGGCCAAACGGTCCAGGTGGCCCTGGACCAATGCCACCAAACATGTGTGGACCTAACATGCGAGGTCCTGGTCCGAATGGACCAATGCCACCTTTCTTTGGCCCCCCCTTCAATCCATCAATGATGGGGCCTAATGGCCCTCGTAACTCTATGATGCCTCCAAATCCAGGGAACAATAATATGCCATTTATGGGACCCAGACCCCCATTTGGTCCTAATGGCCCTAATTTCGGCCCCAATGGACCGAATGGTCCAAACTTTGGTCCTAATGGTAATGGTCCTCCTAACATGCCTCCATTTGGTCCCCCAAATTCTATGAGTCCAGTCCATAAGATTCCTGAACCAAAACCTTTAGAAACTGTGACTATTCCTCCTCCTGAACCTATGAAGCTTCAAAATATTCCACCACCAATGCCGCTGCCTCTAAATCATATACCGAAGCCTAAAGATTTGGACCCAGGAAACATCCCAGCACCACCAAAGTCATCACAAGGTATTGGTTATTCTATTTTTGTGTTCATTAATTTTTGTCTTTGTAATATTATTTCTAATATTAATACTATACTTGGTTAAAATAATGATACAAAGACAGACAATTTTGGATTATTTAAAATTGTGTTTTAGCTTTTTAGCAAATTAGTTAATGGTAGAAATGCTTGGCCCAGAAAATAAGTTTGAAAGAAAATTGTAGTTTTGATATGTTTCTTTGTCTGTGAGGTGGCTGAATGTGACTGTGACAACATATTGGTTCACATAACATGGCTCACAGACAAGAGGAAAATCCACATTGAAGTACTCTCATGCTTGCTAATTTTAAAATTATTATACAGCAATGATGTGATATGTTCAAATTGTCTTTGATTTAAATTATCAAAATGCAGACAAGTTTAACTACAGTATCTGTGATTTTCTGCTATTTTATTAATATTGTCTGCTCTCAGATTTAAAAACTTGCTTGCTTATTTATTCAGGCAAACTTTTTGATTGCAAATATATATATAGCAACAGTAATGAAGCATTATAAATTCAATTCCAATACTAAATTCAACATTTGTCAAATAGACGGGGTTGACTTAAATAATATGTTAAATTATAATCACTCAGTTTCTTTTACTTGTAGGTAATATTATGTATAGATTGTTAGAGAAAGTTTAGCACAGACAATCACTTCTACCATTACTTAATTTGTCATATGGAGACAAGACTCGGTCTAAACATTGGTAAAGCTGCAGACTTAGAATGAAGTAGACAATGCATGTATTTCAAATCGTATGGAAACCGAACATTTCAGATTTCGAGATATCTGTTTTCAGCCAAAAATAACATAGTTAGATATTTTTACCCGACTGCGCAATGCAAGAGCGTGAAGCGCGACCCTCAGTAAGGGTATAGAGTTTTAACAGTTTATATATGTATGTTCCTTTGTGGCACACTAGAGACCGTCGATCGATACGTCAATCGATTTGTCTTAATCATTGAAGTGCGACTAAAGATATGATAGTAATCGAAATTAAATATGCGGAAAATTAGGCGCCATATTGCGAGAAAGAAAAAAAATATGTTGACGCAATATGTCTAGTGGGGTATCATTGTCTAGTCTAGATAATCAAAAATCATGTTTATATTACTACTGTTCACAAAGTTAATTTTAACGATATTACTATGAAGTAATAAAGGATAGTGAATAAAAGGATTACTTAACACAATGAGAAATAACCTACTATTCGCTAGCAGGTACATACATAAGGGATCTTTATTAATCAGCTCCCAGTAATGTTGGTTTTGTATAAACAATAAAAAATTCGATAATGTAGCTTAGAACCAAGGTCCCATCTATTTCTATGGGGAAATTCATCATAATCGATTTAGCTATTAGAGCGTGAAAGCGTAACAAAAAACTCACTTTCGCTTGACACTCGACACTATTTAAAACTTCAACATGCTACATAATAATAATAATATCTTTGTTTTATGAGGTTAGTTTTGATAAATGAAAACACAGGTAGCATTTTTATTTTATACAGAGTAATAAGTCTGTTAAGTAAGGGACAAAGCTACTTTAACAGTTGGGAGCCATTAGATATTCAAAAATGTTTTTTTTTTTCAATAATGTTTCCAAAATGTTAATATAGCTTTGTTTCTTACTTAACAGAATTATTACACTACTGGGGGCCAATCGCCTAACGGAAATGCTTTGGGAAACGCTAACGCTTACGATTTTATATTGTTATTTCTAGCCGCCTGAGGTTTTCGAATACCTCACGCTCATTTTTTTTAATATTGTTATTACCAATGCAAAAGAAAAAGAAAGATTGCGAGGCATTTGAAAACCGCAGGCGGCTAGAAATAACAAAATAAAATCGTAAGCGTTAGCGTTTCCCAAAGCATTTCCGTTAGGCGATTGGCCCCCTGGACTGGACTTTTCTTATCAGTTTTTATTTGAAGTAATACTAAAACAGTCAGGATATTGAATTTTTTAAATTTACCTTTTTAAAAAAAAATCCATTGACGCCTCGAATCGAAAACGGTGATGCAAAGAAATAAATTAACGTAAAAGGAAGACCCATTGGTTTCCCGTTTAGCACGCGAAGGACATAAATTTATCTATTTCGATGTATGTCTGTGGGTAAAGCAGTGTTTGGCCGAGTGTTGTGTAGTCAGTGTGTCAGGCTCGTGGCCGTAAGACAAAATGTTGACTCGTGGTGTGCAGTTCTCTCTGCAGATATGTTCCCGGCTTCAATCCAGCGTGCGGCCAGCGAGGTCGCCAGCAACGGTGACCACTGGGAAAATGTCCTGAAAGCAATACACTCACAAGACCAAAATATGTGGTAATGCCACTGACTGTAGCCACTTTCGATCCAGGAGGATGCGTTCTGTATTCCTTTTCTTTTACGTATTACATTAACCTACATACCTCATGCGTGGAATGGTGTAAACTTCACAGATATACCTATTTAAAGATTTTTCTAATTATATCCTTGAAACAAAGCTTTCTGCACTTATATCTATAGAGGTAACACTGTACCACAGGCACGTTTACAGGTTTAACAGTTTTTAATCTTATTTGTGGTACTCTTTGTATATTTATGACTTAGCTACGGTATGTCATTGCAGGTTCCTCCATAGCCCGAACTCTAGTGAGTATAAGGCGTTCCGGGAACTAGTGATAAAGTTACGGAACGACCAGCACGGTGAGAGGAAACCTGAAGTGAAACCTGAGGACAAATATGAGCCAGAGTTTAGTTTAGAGGATGATGATAGCGAAGACAGTAGACCTAATGTGAAGGAAGAGTCTAGGGACAAGTAAGTTTTAACGTGTTTTTTTACCATCTTTACGTCATACTGAAAAATAATCACTATATACAAAAATAGACTTTCGTATTTATACTTTTACAATAACATATAGCAATCCCTGGATTTTCACAGGCTAACTTTACGTGTAACGTGTTAATATGTAAAATATAGCCTATGTCATTTAGAAAAAATTTAGCTTTCTAAAGGTGAAAACAATTTTTGTTCGTTTAATAGTTTCTGAGTTTATTCATCATTACAAACACAAAACTTCCTTTTTATAGCATTAGTATGGATAAAAGCCGTAACTATTTAAGTTTCAGCTCGGATGCCCACTTCCATTTCAATCAGAGCTCGTATCAGGACTTTAAAAGGGAGCAAGCTAGCTCTCAAAGTGATGAAGAGTCTGATAACAAGAAGGAGGCTCGTAGAAGAAAGAGGAAGTCCCGTTGGGGCGATGATCCACCAGCTGAGGATATCAAACCACCCGGTATTGTGATGCCGATGATCCCACCAGGAGTTGCTGGAGCTATGCCTCCCACAGGTATTGCTATGTTCTATTGTTTCAAATTAAAATACATTCTAGAAATATTTAAATAAAAGTTCCAGGTATCAGGCTGGATTCTAAGCAGCGCCTTTCGGCGGAATAGTGAACGATTTCCCTAGTATGAAAATTCTTTAGAATTATAAAAGCTAGTAGTTTAATGCCTAAAAAAACATTCTAATTAATAACAAAGTTAGAAGTAGGGACTGGAATACTGTAAAAATAATTAACCACATTTGTCTTACTAGTAGGTGGACGCGACTTCGTCTGCGTGGTAAACTGCATTTGTTTCCCATACAAACTTCCACCCCCCTTTTAACCCCCTTTAAGGGTGCTTTCTATGATAAAAATTATCGTATGTCCTGTCCGGGGACTCAAACTATTTCTATACGAAATTTCATCTAAACCAGATCGGTGGTTTAGGTGCGAAGAGGTAACAGACACATACACATTCGCATTTAAAATATTATTAGGTCGGCACTTGACTGTTCGTGGAAAAAATGTTTTCCCATACAAACTTCCACCCCTTTCACCCTGTTCAAGGATGATATGACTACCACTCAAACTATCTATAAAGCGTATTTCATCTAAATCGGTTTAGCAATTTATGCATGAAGAGGGTTACCTCTTCACACATTTGCATTTATAATATTAGTATAGAAGTATAGATGGTGCAAACTTTTCGTCTGTGCGTTTGATTCTGTCTGGTTTTTACTCTCGATTTAAAGCAGAGGTTTAACTTGAATATTACTTTTCAAATATCATCGATTTTTAGGACCGAAACTCGCAAAAATAGATGAAGATGGGCTAAAACTGACCACCGTGAATCGCAACAACCAGGCATTGATGCAGTACGCTATGACCAATTATGGCACCACAAATCTTAGCGCTGAAGATTGGAAGAAATGCGAGGACAACTTCAAATTGAATCTTCTGTATCAGGTATTATCTAGTTTGTGGTGAGACACGAGCATGTGATAAGATGTTCATTAAAATGGTGACAATATTGCAAACCACTTAGGCCCTTCGTATACTTCTGAGAGTACTGGTATCTCAGTACGAACCAATAACGAATTCGAATAGTTAAATTCAAAGGAGACGGTATAGTTTTGTATGGGAGGTGGTAGTGAGTAACCGGCAGCATTGGCATTTATACCACTTAAAGTTCATATTTTTTTAAATCATTTGCTAATTTTTCAGATTTTTTTGCACCTCCGTTTTTTTGTAATTAATTATCAAAGTTCCAGGAAATAATTAATCTGGCAGCATTGTACACAATTCTTAAATATGCAGATAGTGCAAATCCTATTATCGATTATCGATATTTTTCATTGGGTAATCGCTTTTTTATGCTCATTCTATTAATGAATGTCAATTGCAATTATAAAATGTAATCTGACTGCTGTCATAGATATCAATCGTGCCTTTGGGTTTTTCCGAGGGTTGGTGTCAAGCAGGCCATAAAAATCGAAATGACAAAACTATAGGATCTGCAGCGTTGTCAATATCAAGATACTGACTCCATTTGAATTGGGTGCAGAGTAAGAAGATGACACAAATCTATCTATACTCATATTGCATCAAAGCTAAAATAAGGAAGTGCCGGCGAAGTGTAGTACAATAACATCACCCCGTTTCCTCTATGGGTGTCATAGAAGGCGACTAATGGATCACTTCAGGAGTTTTTACCACCTTATTCTGCGTCCACCAATCTGCATTTGGCAATCGCTGTGGATTACTGACTAAACCTACTTTCTTAACAAGGAGAGGCCTTGTGTCCCAGCAGTAGGTCGGATTAAAAAGCCTGTGATGATGAAGGTAGGAAGTTGATGATTTCCCTGCATTATATTGCAATATGTTATTAATTTTAAATTATTCAATTAACAATCGTGCAAAGTAAATATGTAAGAATTTATGAAGTCAATATCTTGTAGACTTTGTGTTTACATTTATACAAATCTGCATTATCATGATTCTGTCTTTTGTTTATCATAAATAATCGTAGCTTTATAAGCAACGTTTAGCTATGAATCTATTAACTTAAAAACCATTATGATTTTTAAACAAAAGTGGAACAATATTACCCTATACTACAAAAATAATGATCAGTTTTATTTTGATATAATCTTGAATATATAATCGAATAGTATTATCTTCTTTTATCGATTACTGACTGTATTAGTTAAGACACATCACTGATATTCTGTGCGTTTGACACATAAAAAAATGAGTTCCTTCGGCTTTGTTTGTTTCTGTTGGTAGTTCTTTCGTTCGCGTTATTGTTTATTTTTATATTTATTTGATCTTTTCTACTGTAAATTGACAACGATATTCACGCTTATTCTGTTGACCCCTGCTGTGTCTTCTGGATTCCCGTTAGCATATTATTTGGATTTTTAATTGCCCCGGTCGGATATCACGACTTTTTGTCAATGTAAGTAAATCTTTTCGAAAACTATTCACTGCTTAATTAATCTACTAATACTTTTTTGTTACCTGCTGTAAAACTGAGAGATAAGATAATTATTAATTACTTATTACATTTCTTGGAATTTCACCGGAGTTCTTGATAAATAAATAATACGTGTTCTGAGATTCAATTTAGAATTCAAACTTATAACTAAAAAATTAAATTAAAATAATTAAAAAGAAGACAGTCACTTTTCTCTTACACTTTCTTTTCACAAATTGTTGTTCATTTATCATAATGTGGTTTCAGATATCATGGCGTGTGTGAATTGCCACATACTGTTGGGGCAGAATATAAAATTACATGAATACAATGTTACTAATCTAAGTTCAGAACTTGTATCTATTGTTGAAGAATGGTGTGGTAAGTGCAGATTATTTAAATACCATAGTGTATGTACTCCTGTTAGAGGACCATTAACAATGCTATAAAATTCTTATTACAGGTGTCTGTTAATGATCAATTATGTCAGGCATGTCTAATGCTTGTGAAAAGAGAGGCAGCTAATCGTGATGAGGACGCTAGTCATCACTCGGAGAGGGAGATTGGACACTCCTGTGTTTGTGTGTGCTGTGGAGTATCACTATCTACACAAAGTGGACGGGGTCGTCACAGACTGCCATCGAGGAGTGTAGCACCTAACTTATATAGAGAACCAAATATTTCCTACATACTGTATGTATAATATTATATTTTAGCCATTTGATTTTTTGCATTTTATATCATACAGATTTGTTTTGAAACATGAAAAGAAGAGATATTTAAGACAAACTTTTGATGGACAGGCAAGACTAAAACTTCTGAAAGAAGTCATTGGTGTACTTTCTTCTTGAAATATTAGACCAACAGTTTATATTTTATGTCTGATTAACCTAGAACAAAAGAAATAAAACATTTCCTTAATTTTCAGGTTCCTGCAGAAGCTTGAGTATGCCATGCTTGTTGGATGAGAGCCTATGAAAACAATCCATTACAAGACGACATAATTGAAATACCTCCAATTGTATTTGTCTTACAGGAATACATTTCTTGTACCGGATCCAGTGGTTAGATTCTTCGATTCCAGCAAGTTCAGTACTGCTTAGTTCTGAATCAAGTTCTTGGGCTGGAGCTGGAATAGCAAACCCATCACTAAACCATAATCTTATGGAATTACCAAATTATAGATGCATATTCGATTCACCAAACCACTGCTTCTTTTTAGATGGTATATTAATTACAGATGACGAAGATTAATAAAATGTGATTATTTTTTTAAATGTTTTATTCTTCCTGAAGTTTTCCTTTCTCAAAATCATTACTGGAATTTGCAATCATAGTATTTCTATGTATTGAAGTTTCCTAATGAAAGAAAGAAAGAAAGAAAAAGTATTTATTGGCCATAAGTTGGTACATAAGTAGAAAAAAAAACAATGAGCAAAAACAATAAAATTAAAACAAAACAGAGAAAATACACATGAGAACAAATAATGGCCAATCAGGCCCTGCCCCAGCTTAATACTGTTATTGTGGGAACTAATATTCCCACCATAACAGCGCTGGTATTCCGGCAGGGCCTGTGTAATGACGCCAGAGGGACAAAATATTAGTGATTTAAAATTATATAATGGTATAAATAAAAAAACCAAATAAAAATAGGTAGTTAAATGCAAATATATATAAATATTATGATGCTTAAACTATGTTACATAAATAATAAAAGTATAATGGTTATTTTCTTGTAGTTAAATGTCTTATACTTAAGATAAATTGAAAGCTTTTAATTTATATAAACAAATTATCAGGCAATAATGTTATTTATTACCTAGGCATTAAAAACATTTTTTAATGATATCGATTTATTTAAAATCTTCATCCATAGTTAATAACAAAGACAAATAAAAATAGATAGTTGTTTTCACCGCATTTAAGGAGTACTTATCACGCTGTGTGTATCGAGGTATAATGTTATTAATATATTTCAATAATTTTGTGACTATCCTCCATTTTTAACTCTATCGAATATACTTAGTTACCTATATTTATAATTACAATAATCAATTAGATTTTCACTTAAAATTGGCAAAAATGCGTGGTACATAGAGATATTATCCGTTTGTGTATCCTAGAGCTAATGTTTGGCGGGAAACCTTGGATCTTCATTTAGTCATTCCGTCGGAGTAGACTTTAATTATTTTTATACACGAGCATTCGAATTGACTATCAGTTGACGACGAATCATTGAAATAAAGCTTTCTATGAATCACTTCACATTTGAATGCAAACAGAACGCATGTATTCTTCATATTTTCTATTTTTATTTAGAATATAATTACTGAAGACATGGCTGTATGGGCGTGATCTCTTTGCCATCTCTTCAAATAAAACAGCATAGAAGCACTGGGGTAGCCAGCATAAAGACAAAATGAAAAACTTTGCTTGTAATTTAAAAATAAACGGAGGTAAAATAAAAATTGAAATTCATAGGACATTCTAGAAAAAATAACAGCTTTTCAATGATATACTTCTCATGGCTGCCGGTTTTTGACTACCACTTTTATACCGTCTCCTTTCCATACAATACTTTTTGGCATTTGACAAGTATTGAGATCAAATTACACCATGTGTTTGAATTCGCTATTGCTTCGTGTTAAAGGTACTGATGACTTTGTTTGTTGAGATTCGCGTTGCCGCGTTAAATTCTCGTTACGTCTGTTGTGGCGCTGTTTAAATTGCCATACAAATCTTTTTTTTTTAACAACATCACACCAATTAGCCTAGCCCCAAAGTAAGCACTGTAAGGCTTTTGTTATGGGATACTAGGGTAACGGATAAAATACATATACTGTATATACATAAGTATATTTATATAGAAATACATATTTGCATTACTCCAGTCATAGATGTTTAATCCATGATTGGAGTACAAATGCTCGTATTCATCACACAAACATCTGTGCTCACCGGGATTCAAACCCGTGACCTCTCGAGCAGGTGACACCTCGAAACCCGGTGTACAAACCACTCGGCCACGGAGGTCGTCAAATCTTCTTGAACTTTGACGCATATCGAGAGCGAATTCAGCTATTTGAATTCGATATTGGTTCGTGCTAAGGGTACAGATATATGCAACATACGTTTACAACATTTGAGTCGGGTCATTTGTATAGCCTTCTGTTCGAAGGGCCTTCTTAGAATTTACATCAGGGGGGTGGGATAATTTGCTGCGCCCTTGCGCCATTTAAAAAAAAATATAAAGGTTGTGTGACCAACGATATTAAATATCGTGCCCGCTGTCCAAATGGTACATTAGATCGATCCACGGGACTCCGTGAGATAATCACGTAGCCAAAATCAATATAAGGCATTATTTAAACATTGAAAGTCACATTTAATGTGTACTGTATAAGGTCTTAATTAAAACGCATGCGACAAAGAGTTATGTCAGTTCGATATGCAAGCTCGTAAAATGTTACGACTTATTGCTATATGCGGAAGAATATAGACCTTATTTCTTTGACTCTACGCGAAATTCTGAATGCGCTGTTAGCAATATAGCAAGTATGGACCGTTAGGAAAAGAGACGGCTATATTACCGACCATGCATTTGAATATCACAAATATTTTCTATTTAATCAGTTTATAGTAAGTATTAGAACAAAATTAGCTTTAAATGCGTTAAATTAACAAACATCGATTCGCTACCTGTCGAAAAAACGACACTTTACATCCTATAAGTTTTTTTTTTTTCGCAATTTTTCACGGAGCTCAACTTGACCGTCAACGACCTGCGCCAACTTGACTTTTCGACGGTCCGCGCGTGACTGTGAGCCAAGAAGTGCTTGAGTGGAGTTCAAGCACTTCTTGATTGGGCCAACTTGACTTTTCGACGGTCCGCGCGTGACTGTGAGCCAAGAAGTGCTTGAGTGGAGTTCAAGCACTTCTTGATTGGGACACATTTTGAGCGCACGTGGTGTATCTAGGGTATTTAATATCGTTGTGTGTGACAGTCAATAGGCTTTTTGTATCTTCTACCACGTTTCTTTCTTCTACGCGCTTTTACTCTACAAAGCAGTATTTTGTCGTTTGTATCGTTACAAACGCGCATTAGTATCGATTCAAACGCGGGTTTGAAATTATACTGGTGTGCAAAGGTCTACAGACTGAGTCTGAATCGCGTGTGTATCGCTACAAACGCGCGTCGCTGGCGCGTTTAAAAACCTTAGTGTGTAAAAAAAGCCTTTAATGCTATATTTTTAAAATATATTTATAAAATAATTTTCAACCATTAAATCAATTGGACTTGGATTTTAACCTCATCATTTATTATATTAGGACATGTTGAAGAAACGTCAGCAAGTGGAACGGTTAGCCGCGGCTGGTAAACATAAATATGAGTACGATAGCGACGAAGACACGGCGGAAGGAACTTGGGAGCATAAGTATGTCAAATAGAATATCATCATCATCAGCCTCATAATCTTCCCACTGCTGGCGCACAAGCCTTTCCTTTGGATGGAATAGGGAGATTGGGCCATGACCCACCACTCGGGCCCAGTGCGGATTGGCGGGTGCTAAAGACTGTGAGAGCCCAGTGCGAATTTGTGAATGCTAATGATTGCAGATGTAGCCGGTGCCAACGGCTTAACGTGCCTTCCAAAGCACGAAGGAACTCGAGATAGAAGATTTTTGGTTTCACCCAACCAATGACCGACCACTGCGAAAGTTGCTTAACTTTTACGATCGCAGCCGAACACGCTAACCACCAACCCCATCGATCTCCTCAATGTTATATAATGGGCATGATTCTGGCATTATTCTTTAAATCTTAAAGTAAATTTGAATTTAGTAAAACCTAACTTTGCTATTAGAGAATGAAAAGAAGAGGTTGTTGTCAAATTTAGTATAAGGTTTATAGATTCAAGGTAGAATTAGGCCCAAGTACGATTATTGCATAGTTCTGTTAAAATATAACGTTTTTTTTTCAATGAAAATTTTAATCCTAATTCAATGTAAAAAGACAAAAGTAAATAAATGTCAATTAAAACCAAGAAGTCAGTTATTCTCAAGCTATTAATACTGATTGAGGTTGTATTTTAACAGTGGTATTGCTTTTTCAGATTTATTATTTATTTTTTGGAGGAGCTCGATGGCGCATTTGGTTAGCGCGTTCGGATACGTACGATCGTTGAAGTTAAGCAACTTTCGCAGTGGCCAATGACCGATCATTGGATGGGTGACCAAAAATTTTCTATTTCGAGCTCCTCCGTGCTTCGGAAGGCACGTTAAGCTGTTGGTACCGGCTGCATCTGCAGTCGTTAGCACCCAACAATCCGCACTGGGCCCGCGTGGTGGGTCATGGCCCATGCTCCCTATTCCATCCATAGGGAAGGCCTGTGCCCCAGCAGTGGGGACATTAATAGGCTGATGATGATGATTATGATTGCTTTTTCACTGTGTTAATATAGAGCATGATAAGGATATATTACACTACTTTCATCCTTGAGTCATAGGTTTACAGAAGCTTGAAAAGGGTTAGACTTTTATAGATATACTAGCTGTCCCAGTGAACTTCTCCTTAAAAAAATTGGGGTTGGTGGTAGAAGGGTTAAAATTTAGGGTTGCGGGTTTTTGTATGATGTACTTATCATAAAAAAAAAATCCAAAAAAAAGGACCACCATTAACATTTAAGGGGATGAAAAACAGATGTTGTACGATTCTCAGACCTGCTGAATATGCATATAAAATCACGAAGATCTGTCGAGTCGTTTCGGAGTAGTTCAATAACGCACACCGTGACACGAGAATTTTATATATTAGATTTTTCCTTTTTTTAACACAATACTTGAAAATGAGTTAATTTAGAAGGATCATGTATAGAATACCTGTTATCTGTTGCAGGCTTCGTGCTAAGGAAATGTGTGCAACAGAGAGATGGGCCGATGAACTCACCAAACAAGCAGCTGGTAAACATCACATTGGTGATTTTTTGCCTCCGGAAGAACTCAAAAAGTGAGTGGACTTTCCTTTTCTCAATTTAATAATTTAACTAGCGGCCGCCCGCGACTTCGTACGCGTGCAGTTAGTTAGTTTCCCCGTAGGTGATAGCGTGATAAGCCCATATGTTGACCTGACTTCTTAATAATATTCGTGCCAAATATGTGGTACATCGTTGCAGTACTTTTTGAGTTTATCCCGGACATACATACAGACAAACCGAAAAAAAAAGTAAAAACGATATTTTTGGCTTCGGTATCGATTGTAGATCACATCCCAAGTATTCTTTTAAAAAAATATTAAATGTACAGTTTTGACTTTACTACCATTTTATTATATGTATAGATAATTTCTTCTATACATTACCAACCATTCTTTAAGGCCAATTTTTCAAGCAATACGATAATGTTTCCATATCAATTTCATATAATTATTAATATAAATACTGCATCTTTCAGGTTCATGGAAAAATATTCAGCTTTCAAAAGCGGCAAAGAACCAGATCTCAGTGATTATAAAGAGTTTAAACTGAAGGAGGACAACGTTGGTAAGCTCACAATCACAGCAAACATTGTAAAACAGTCTAGAAGACATTATAATCTAACTTCCTAATAAAAAAAAAGGAATATGATATTTGTTTGTTTACCTTTAGGGTTCAAAATGCTACAGAAACTAGGATGGAACGAAGGCCAAGGTCTGGGAGCTGAGGGTACCGGAATAGTGGATCCAATAAACAAGTGAGTAATTAATGCAATTTGTGTCAGTTTCTCATTTATGATAATATATTCTGATTTGTAATTAATTATTAATTTTAGTTGTATTGGCTGTTAATGGTGATTAAGGGGTTTTGTAATTTTCTTAGCATGTTGTTTAGCTTTAAAATTACATGTTTTTTTTTACATATTGTTTATAGTAACATAGCTGTTTATTTCTTGTACAAATGGTTTTGTGTCAATTGATCTAGGGGGAGCGAGAATTTCCATTACAAGTATTTATAATACCGGGAATTCTGTTCCGAAAGCTGTATTTGTCTTTGTTCAGAAATAAATGTTATTATTGTTGTAAATAGGGATTTTAGTAACAATAAAAATGTATTGCGACATACTAAATCAAACTAAAAAATTAGTAGCGATTTAATAAAAAAAAAGATTTACTTTAATTTATACTGTACCTATAAGTATGTAATGAATGCAATTTGTGTCATATTAACAATTTATTTATTGTAAAAGTTATGCTTCCTTCTATGCTCCCGGTAACATCTATCGGCCCACCTTGCATTTACAGTTTTGACTTTCCCTAGCTAAAAATAAATGTTTAATTGAGCAATAAGTTATTACGAAGTTTTGAAATTGATTTATTAACCATATTTTTCGTGAGTTTTTTAATAGTACATTACGATACGTGTGATCTAAGTTGCCTATTAGGCCACAAGTATCGTATACTATTTTATAGCAAGTGTGACATAAACCCGCCCCGGACGCGGGCAAGAGTTGGGGGGGCCGGAGGCCCCCCCGAGGGATGCGATTAGTGTTTTGAAAGTAAAATTCATGTATTGCAATCACAAAGAATTGCAATACAGACTGCAAGTCAAACTCTGAAAAGAAAGAATTCCGGTTCAGATTACCCTTTTGAAAGTATATTTCAAAAGGAAAATATCAAATATCATTACAACAAAATAGAATTTCAATGTATCCATGAACGTTTATTCCTTGATTGGCATAGTAAAGTTAAGTTACGCGTATCGTAATGTACTAATTCTACATGAGTGAAGTTGGTCAATTCATTTACACACCGTGCAGAAATAGGCAACTTAGGTCACGGAGAAGCGTGCGTAAAGTGCGGGTTTAGGTCACACTGTGCTATAAAATATGTTATTATTGTTCAACCTAATTTAATTATATTTTTGCCACAGTCAGTTGAAACTTCTGCCACAAAGGCGCGTATTACAGAATGACAACTAAGTGTTGATCTTTACTTGAGTACAGTTAGAAAGGGATGTCGTTATGTGCTATATATAGCAACAACCCTTTCTAACTATGCTCAAGACTAGATATTGATTGACTGAGAATCTTTCTATAACACAGACCTAAGTGGGGCCATTGAAATGGCCTGAAAATGTGTCGGGAAGTGTAGTTCATGTATATAGTTATTTTCAAGTGTCTAACCTATATAATATTTTTGTAGTTATATTCTCGTTTGTCCCGGATTTCACATAGAACCTGCAGTCGTTGTGTAAATAAAATCGCAACTAGAAAATTGCGGAGCTGGCGAAAAGAACGGTATAATTACACTTCTGGTGAAACTACTTTTTTTTTACAGTCCGGAGGTTTCGGGCCCGTTGAATTTGAATCTCAAATAATTTTCAATCATAACCACCTAAAACAGTATTAAAAAAAACTAATATTATAAATTAAAAACCCATTCCAAAACCTCACTGTAGTTATGTCATTCAGTTTTGTACAGCTCCTGTAAAATTAAATTTTATGTAATTTTACCGTTTTGTTCGCCAGCTCCTCAAATAAAGTCCAGTCCAATGCACCGTTTCCCTAGCAATTCTACCAAACAGAACCAAAATTTGGCTGTAGGTTCTGCTTACCCTCAACTACAAAGTTCATCTTCTAGGTATAGCGCAACAAAGAACCTTCGATCATTTATCAATTAACGCTTCGAAGATAATAATTGTTTATTGATTAAATAATAGATATTGACATTTAAATGTCAAAAACATAAAACCTATACTTTACAAATTTATAAATTTCATCAAATTTGTCGCGACAGAGCTCAACAGCCAGTAGCCAATATGGGTTTGGGTGCGAACGCTTCCGACGTGGTTTCGGCCGACGACGATGAGTTCGATGCATATAGGAAAAGAATGATGCTCGCCTACAGATTCAGACCTAATCCATTGGTGAGCGGTATAATCATCATTAGCCTATTAATGTCCCCACTGCTGGGGCACAGGCGTTCCCTATGGATGGAACAGGGAGTTTGGGCCATGGTCCACTGGTGGGTACTAACGACTGCAGATGCAGCCGGGACCAACGTGCCTTCCGAAGCACGGAGGAGCTCGAGATAGTAAATTTTTGGTCACCCATCCAATGACCGACTTCTGCGAAAGTTGCTTAACTTCAACGATCGCAACCGAACGCACTTACCACTTCCGCCATCTAGCTCCTCAATTATAGCGGTATAATAAATAACTATATATACTCGACTATAAGTATACAGGGTGGACCAATAGTGACGTCAACATTTTTTTTAGATTCCTCGCACCTGGGGGTTTCATAAAATACCCTATGTATGTTCTGCGATTTTTCTTAGTTTTCGAGTTATAATTTTTTTTTGTGTATTTTTAATGATTTCTGCCAGCGAGGTTTAAAAAATTCATATCTTTTTTCGTAGTAGGTATTTTGCAGTCTTTTTTTTTGTGACTTGAATGTTGTTTAATAAAAAAATTAACTCAGCAATAAAAAAAATTAATATGCAATGGGAAATTACTTAAAGTTACTCAAAAAAGGCTTGAAAGTTGGAACTTTAATTTTAAGCAGGATTTACTCAAACATTCAACTACAATTTAAAAATACAAAAAGGAGTTTCCATAGCTTCTACGTTTAAAAACTCCGTAAGCTTCTAAACTACCAAAAATCATAAAAAAAAAGAATACTTAATCAGCCTATTTTTGTTTTAATTGGCCTTCGAAGGTGGATAGGCTAAATATCATTGAAACACGATTAAAGTATTAAAAACTATTTTATCTACTTTTTATCATTGTTATGGTAAATCAAACTTAAAAATGTAATTTCAAATTAAATTTAATTGACATTCCTGTAAAATAACTTTAGCATGTGTAATTTTATAATAATTTCGGTTTCACCACTAAGATTTTAAATGTGAGCAAGAATAAAAATCAAAATGGCTAGTTGGGAAATGGCGTGTTTTTGATAACAAATAAAAAGCACAAATTACTGAAAAATTACTATTTATTAAAGTAAATTTTAAAACATAACTTTTTAAGACGTTGTTTATTGTGTTTTTAGGTAGGAGGAAGGAATTTTTTCTCATTTAAAAAAATCACTCAAAATATCCTGTACAGATAGCTCAGGAATATTATTGGTGTCAAAAGTTTACGTTAATATTGATTTTAAATACTGTGTTTTATTTTTCAGAATAACCCACGACGTCCCTACTATTAAGAAAAACGTGTACAGCCAGAAGAAAGTGTTAGAATAAAGAATTAATAGCTTAAATAATAGTTATTAATGAGGTATAGGTTCCTTAATAGGCCTAAAAGCAATATGCTGAGTTGCTGATACTTCTGGAAGATCATGTTGATGAATAATGTAATAATAAAAATTATGACAAATTTAGTAAATTTGTTTTCAATGTTTATTGAAATATCCACCGATTGCCTGGTTATTTTATAAAGAAAACTGTTGAGACTATTGAGGGATTTCGTCTCAAAATGTTTTTTTTTTTTTAATATTCTCTCTTTAGATTATTTACTTTACACAATTTTCTTGTGGGAGATTTTTTATTGAAATTGCATGAAATTGAATTGCTGTCCAAAAATAAAATATCCTAATAGGTATTATGTACACTACACAAAACATTTTGTATTTACGAAATTGTATGTACCTTTCGCTATTTGTACCGAAATGTATTTTCTTTTTACTTGTATGTAACCTACTTCCAGTTATTGTCGTACCTATATAATTAAGGTCCCAAGTTTAGTAAAGTCTGATATCCACTATGTTCGTGAATAGCAGGCAAAATGGCATCTTACTGCCACCATCTTGATTTTTTAATATTCATAACCATTCTTACGATGAGAGAAAGAGTGAGAAAGAGAGCAATAATATGGCAGGACGGATCGCAAGATATTCGCTTACAAAGTGGATAGTTACCTTAAGTTTATTAAGCATCTTAAAAGTTAAGACATATTGTTAAATTTCTAATAAAATATACAAAATTAAAGTATATTTTTTTTTATTTTACGTAACCCTGTTAAAACATTAATTAAAATACTTAGCTTAAGGCTTGTTTTGGCCTGTTTCACAGTCGATAAGTAGATTTAGTAGCAGTAAGGGCCGGATTTAATGCCGTATACAGAAAGAAAGCGCTGTACCCCTTTTTTTTATTTTTAACGTCATGAAAATGCGTTACGCATACCTCAGTCCAAGGGCTGGCTCAACGGCTGCTCGAGAGAAAGGGGGCCCTACCCACTAAAAACCTGACGATGTCCCTCACCTCAGCGGTGGGCCGGGGTCCCCCCGGGTACGGGATCCACCATCAGGTGCCCCCCCCTGACGAGGCAGCGACACTGTGTGAAGCCATGGGAACCCTTTCGGATACATCCACAGCCCCACCAGTGAGTGTCCGAGTCGAACGGACCCACCAAACTTGGGGATGCCCCGAGGCATCGAGGGCATTTCCACCTACAGACAGAGGCCTGTGCAATGCAGAGCTCGGACCTCCCAAGTCCGGGCCCCGCTGGCCTCCGTAGCGCTGTACCCTTGGCTGTACCCCTAGCACGAACCAATAGCGAATTCGAATAGTTTGCAAACTGAAATGTCAATGTCAAATTTTGTATGGAAACTTAAACAGCTGGAACTAATAATCAAACATTACGAATTAGATTTTGGTTCGTGCTAGGGGTACTGGTCCTTACTGGTAACAGTTACATAAAGGAAGCAGATTAAAGCCTAGTTGTTCATTTATTTCAAAGGACGGTGCCAGCGCTGACCAGTGTCGGCGCTTGTCGGCGCTAATCAGCGCTAGTCCATAGAAATGCCTGCGCCGGTTACCGGTAAGGACCAACGCTGTCAAGCGCTGGTCGGCTTCCAGCTTTCTTTCTGTATACGGCCTAAGGCAGGGCAGGCGGGGTTGTGGTCCATGAGCTAAACCTCTAAATCCGGCCCTGATATAACATTAGTTCGGTTGTTAGTCCGGTAAAGTCCGGTTGACCGTTAAGGTGTAAATAAGCACAAAAGGAACGTTTAACTTTAACTGATCGTATTGCTAATTAATTACTAATTACACAACAAAATATCTCTCTTCCCGTTTGCGGCCCGCGCGTCACGTGATAGTGTATATCTTTTTCGAACTATAAATCAAACTCTTTCTCTTACGTACAATTGAACTTACATAATGTGTTATTGTTATCTGTATAATATTATACAGATAACAATAACACATTATGTAAGTTCAAATAAGTTATTATACAATACATATGTATTGTATAATAAATTATTACCTCGCCGCTCGTTAGGCGATTGGGAATCTACTTGTTTTTATACCTCAATGACTATATATATGTCCAAGATACCAAGCAAGGATATTGTAAAAACTTTTTTACAAAAAAAAACCCTCAAGAAAAAAATGTGTAGTTAAATTAATTTTTGGTATCAATGCCATGCTTACCCAACGTATCTTCTCAGTCGCCCCCGCGGGTATTGCCACCTGCAGCAAATGAAGTAGGTAGTAAACGGGAAGTACTTAAATTATCAGATATACCTGACACCAACTCCAAGTATTAATTTGACTAAAGATAAAAAAAGATTTATATTTTTTTTATATCGGCGGTTTAATTTTTGTGTTAAAAAGTTTTTATTTTATAATTTTGGAAATATATAACTCACCCCTATTTTCCCACCCTTAGCTTTAAGGTAGGATATTTGTTTCTCAATTTATCTGGGACCAACTTCGTGGTATACCCTATCGCCCCTATTTAATAAAAAACCGGCCAAGTGCGTGTCGTGCCACGCGCAGTGTAGGGTTCCGTAGTTGCCTGTAGTTACCACAATAAAATATTTGAGCAGGAGTCTTTATTTTCTATATCGGAAATTAGAAAAACCAATTGATATCAATCTATAATATCTCAACCAAAATACCTAAATCAAAGTCAAACTGCGTCTCAAACTCAAAATCAATTTGAGATTTTTATTTTAAATACGAATGATAACCGCCAATTGTTTATTATTTCCTCTCAGACTCGAGTCATTTCGAATCGTCTCGCTAATAGGTTAGACGAATTCCAGCCTCCCGCACAAACCAGATCCCGGAAAGGTTTCAGTACCATGGACCACTTCCAAAAGCCGCGGCCGGATATACAAAACACTGATGAATATAACCTGCCACTGGCCTAGCGTTTGTGGACTATGAGAAAACCTTTGATTCAGTTGAAACATGGGCTGTGTATTTTTTATCTCTGTTGTGCGAGCCAGCCCTGCCTTAAATCCGGCTCTGACTAGCGCTACATCCAAGTGCTGAAGAGATTGAACCAAAACGCTACAACATGACAGTCCGTATATAAGACCAGACTACGAGACCTAGCTAATTACAGCGAGGAGTGCGACAAGGAGATGTAATCTCCGCGAAATTGTTTGCGGCTGCGTTAGAAGTATTCTTTAAGCTTCATAATACGAACGGAATTGGCATCAACGTTAATGCCGAGTACATTACTCAACTTCGATTTGATAATGCTATAGTCGTTATGCCAGACACTTTGAAGAATCTCAATATAATGCACAACCCAAGCAACAAAAAGTGGGTTTTATAATTATCCTGGGACCACCGTTTTTCACGATTATAATGGACTAGTAGACTCTTATAACCACGGAAAAGGGCCCATTTTATAGGCGTACTCTTTCTTTTAAGACACCCATAGTATACTTGGTGACTACCGCTTAGACGAATAGTTTCCTTATAGTGGTAACACGTGACACTAACTGCTCCCCACGAAGCCAACTAACAGCGCTTTAAAGAACCATACACGGTTTTAATGTACTCCGGGCTGATATTACAAGCTCTTCAAAATTTGGTTGTGAATGTGTCAACTGTGGTGCGTGGCGTTGATGCCCATAAAATATTAAGGTAAGTTATTTCATTCATTTCTATTTTATGATAAGTTACACTGTCATACAATACAATACATGCGTTCGGGTGGCAGACATATATTTTCGGTGAAGTATATTATGTTTCAAACTAAAATTTTTACTCGCCTTTTCAAATTAGCGTATTTATTAAGGTGCATTTCAAAATAATATTGATTTTAATAAGGCATACTGTTAAAATCGCCATTTTTATGTACCTAGTTCTCTGAATTTCATTACAGAGCCATTATAAACGTATTTGGTTTCAAAAAAGTTTGCATTAGGAACAATATAGATCAAGTAATACGCCATGTTCAGAATTAGGGTTCGACAAACATTACTATAACCCATTGATTTTCAATGGGATATTACTTAACATATAGGGACCATTTGTAAAAAAATAATGTTCCTAAATTATCGTTAGGTATACATGTCAATAGCAAGTAGGAAATAAAGTAGCCAAACAGAAATTATGATGATGGTGTTGACTTCAAATAGTGATATAAATAAGCTCAACATACCTAAGCAGTGTAAACTCTCTGCCAGTGTCAAAGTGAAGATTTCAAGATTAATGCATAATTTAACAATTCTTAAATAGTTAATAAAAACTTGTTTGTGTATTTTTATGTTTAGGTATCAACCACTGAATCTAAGATGGTAATGTTTATGGACGTCGACCGTTTTATGACTAAAAATAATTTTCAAGCTTTAAAAACTAGAAGATGGCCTTGGAACGTAACACATTTCATGTTGTCTCACAGTTGTCATGGCTGTGGCTATAGAATTTCAAAATACTCTGGAGGACGACCAATTCATTTTGTTATGGAGGAAGAACACATAAGATCATTATTAAAAGAAGATAAATTTTAGTGTGAAAATTGCAAATTTTTCTCAATTTATGACCACTTCACCAGTGACGAATGTGAATTTTGTTATTTTCTAAAATTAAAGCTAAACCTAATCTGACTTAGTCAAAATTATTAAGTCTTTTATGTCATTAATTATTACATAGGTTACATACATGATTCCATCCATACAATACATAATGTTAACTTACGTGTACTTGCACTATGCTCATATTATGGTATAAGTATAGAACGTTTTAGTATCTACTAAACGTTTTACTAAACATTAATTAACAGTATGTACATACTAAGTAGTAAGCAGTAAACTGTTGTAAAAAATAAACATGTACCTGATTGATAAGTTTTGTTAGTTGGAGAAGTAAATTATATAACTGAAAAACGTGCCATAATTTTGTGTACTTAAATGTGTATAAGTTTTGTTAATGAGAGAAGTAGTGATAAGTTTTGTTAGTTGGAGAAGTAAATTAAATAACTGAAAAACGTGCTATAATTTTGTAGAGTTTAATAAGTTACTCAATAATTTTGTGTATAAGTATATAAGTTTTATTAATGAGAGAAGTAGTGATTAATTTTGTTAGTTGGAGAAGTAAATTAAATTACTGAAAAACGTGCTATAATTTTGTGGACAGTAATATGTAAGTCAATAATTTTGTGTAAGTACTTAAAAGTGTATAAGTTTTGTTAATGAGAGAAATAGTGATAAGTTATGTTAGTTGGAGAAGTAAATTAAATAACTGAAAAACGTGCTATAATTTTGTAGAGAGTAATAAGTAAGTCAATAATTTTGTGTATAAGTGCATGTTTTGTTAATGAGAGAAGTAGTGATATGTTTTGTTAGTTGGAGAAGTAAATTAAAAAACTGAAAAACGTGCCATAATTTTGCAGAGAGTAATAAGTAAGTCAATAATTTTGTGTAAGTACTTAAAAGTGTATAAGTTTTGTTAATGAGAGAAATAGTGATAAGTTATGTTAGTTGGAGAAGTAAATTAAATAACTGAAAAACGTGCTATAATTTTGCAGAGAGTAATAAGTAAGTCAATAATTTTGGGTATAAGTTTTGTTAATGAGAGAAGCAGTGATGAGTTTTGTTTGTTGGAGAAGTAAATTAAAAAACTGAAAAACGTGCCATAATTTTGTAGAGAGTTCTAAGTTTTGTTATTAAATTGAATTACCAGATATGCTTTTGTAACGTTTCAGCATCGATTATCGTTTGTCGTAGTTATAAGTTTTGTTGATATAA